AAATTAAATTGGTGTGGCCTTATTTGGCAGGCATTGTGTGCCCCTGTTCTCAGGAAACAGTGCATTCAGCGATCACAAAACTCGGTAAATAGTCTTGGTGACTCAGGATGTGTGCACAGGTATTAGTCCTGCTGACCACAAATTTGTCTAGAAGGAAAAGTGGCAAGTTGTTGTTTTTGCGCCTTTCCTGTCGTCTTCAAGATGTCTGACATGTTTCCTTGCAATGATATGGCCAAAGAAGAACTATGGCGCGCTTTTTTACACACTCATATCCTCTCTATGTCCAGAAATAGTATCAAATGGCCAAGTGGCTAAGGGCTAGCAGATTTAAGAGGTTACACAACTTGCAGGTCCGATTCTTGCATACCTGGCTAGACATTGTGTCCTTGGGAAAGGCTCTTTACATGTCTTGCCTCAGTCCACCCAGGTGTAAAATGGGTACCTGACTTCAGTTGGGGAGGTAAAAGGCAGTGGAAGAAAAGGATTGGGCTCTGCCTTCCAAAATACTGTGCCCTGAGACCGTGCTCTTTAGATTACGCTGAATTCAGAAAGCCTTTCTAAAATCTACACTTCCAGAACTCTATGTAGAATTAGCAATGAATTATTTTGAGTAAAAACGACTGATTATGCTTTATTGAAAGGGGAAAGCAGCCCCCCTCACAAATGTACTTTGGCAATAGACTGCAGTGTTTGCATATAAATGTACAGTTGTTCTATTGTAGCACCTCTCTTTGTGGTGAAAAAAAAGAACCACACAAGCATTCATTGCAGCTGCTCTATTCTGCCTAAGCCAGGCATTAACTTGCATTGGGATCCAAGCCTCTCAGTTTTCACCCATCCCTCCAGGTAACTAAAACAAAATCCCCTCCTCTATTCTTTCAGTAATGGTTGCCGCAGACCAATTAACAAGTTGGGCTGAACCAAAGCAGTGATTTGTTTCTTAACCTCCAAGCTGACTCCTATGCCCTAAATATGTACTTGACAACAAAATTTAAGAAGGTTATTCTTAGGAACACTAAAACTTTCAAACCTTAAATCATAGCAGTTTGAATTTGAGAGTGCATTTGAGTTCAGAATGTCTTTCTATTAATAGGGTTATCCTTTGTCTTAAGGGCATTCTGTGTTCGGGGACTGTTTCAAAACCAAGTGATTACTTTTGTACAATTTATACAATCAAAATAAAACCAGAAATCTGTGTATTTTCCACTAAGCATGGTTCTAATTAAAAACAGCCTTCACAGTTCAGCAGAGGTCAAAATTTCACAGAAACGTTGAGATTTTAAAGAACAATGGTACAGCTGTGCTCCAAATCTGTTGTAGTCCTGCATATGTATTAGCTATCCCCTGTAATACCGCTCTCAATTTGTTAGAGCTTTGGCGATTCAAGACATTATCAACGTGCAAGGCACTGTAAGCCCTTCCACTGGTGTGTCTATTAGTGTCGTAGCAACAGTGAAGTGGTTGTTATGTCTCCTTGCATACAAACACCTGTGTTTTATGGTAGTGCAATCCACTAGCATGCCCTACAGCTAGAATTGTCTGGCCTGAACCGTTGTCATGAAAGTAATCAAACAGGTGTACGTTTCTTCTTCTAGAAGGCTATTAATAGCTTTCAAAAGCTTTGGAGAAATTTTCAAGCATGACAGTAAGTATAGTCTGCAATATAAAAACCTTTTCTTATTGTATGAATAATGTTGTTCTGGTAAAAGAAAATATGTGCCAAACGTGGTCACTTACACAAACTTTCCAGAAAAGAACTCAGTAAAGCTAAAACTGTTCCATTTTTAACCCAGATGCAGTGACAGTTACGTTAAGGAGTTGGCTTCCAAGAAGACGATGTTTTGAGTAATTATCAAACATCTGTAGGTTCCTGTCAAAAGCAACTGTCATCTTTCAAGATATGGAAGTTGCTGACTGGGTCCAACTTTTCCAACTATGATAAGTGATGTGTGCCCCAAGGTTGCACACTTGGTCCACTACTGTTCATGATTTTGATATTAGCTCGATTAGGAATTTTTCGAAGAGCTGACATAGCTCCTACACTACACAGAATGTGTCACTTTCTAATGCAATATGGTGTCACAAGTACATATACATGTATGTCCTTTAGTGAGCCCTGTGGTAGCTTATTATTTGGTGATTTGGTATGAAACCTTTCCCACCTTTTGGTGATAACCCAGATACTTTACCTTAGTAGAGGTGCTTATTATACCCTGGCTTTGAAAGAATTAGGGCACCCAGAACTGTCATGTTGACACCTTTTCTGGTTAATAAGTGCCTAAACATATTTCGTAGGCAATTAGCTGGGCTCATACAAGTCTCTTATGGTAACACATTGTGACAGGTGGCACTGTACAAAAGGGTGGCAACTGGGGCACCTCCATATAACCTGACGTAATTACTCCAGAATTTTTCTTTGTAGGGTGGCTTTCCAAAAACAGTTACGTGTTTCTTGACTTTATTTTGGAAATGTTTAGATCTACATAGAAAAACTGCATACATGTATACCTTGTACTGAGATTTCAGGCTGTCTTTTGTTTTGTAGTAGGATGTTGTACATGTATGATGTATAAATAAATGTACAAACAAGTAGTCAATCTTATGCCTCTTAGAACTTTTTGTAAATTTCTTGTTTCATTATTGTGAATTTCTTGCTGATTCTATGCAATTTTGCATTGACTACCATAAATTAACAGATTCATATAGCAGGAAACTCAAGACAGGAAATGGTATAACCTTTTCTGGGACCTTTGACCTAGCTTCCTGTCATTGTTCCAAAGTGTCTAGCATGTCTAAACAACTACAGCAACACAGGCAAACACACAAACATAGACATCATTCAAAAACAAAACCTTCTTACTCAGAAGTAACAAAGACAACAACCAGTTCTCCACATTGAAAACACTCTGTGGATTGACGATAACCTCCAGGCTAGGATTAGGACATTTGATTGCACCATGGCGACATTCAAAGTCTGATATAATGCTATAAACTGAAAGAACTACTTCCAAACTTAGCCATGAATGTTGCGGTTACTAGGGCTGGTATTTTGCTACAGCTGGGGAAGTACTTACTAGGCTGCTTCAAATAGAGTTGTTGTTTCTGGAGCTTTTGCGGTGGAGACTGTTGTATGTCTGTTTGAAAACAGCATTTTTTTTTTGTGGTAAAATAATCAGTTGTCGCGTGTGCTCATTGCTCAGCAAGGGTGTACATGTGAAAGATTTGAAAATTTGCAGACTTAAAATCCGCAAGTACAATAATAAAAATGTGCCAGTACATTTATTGGGTGGTTTAGTATTACAAATTTGTCATACCTATTTTTAGACTAGAGGGACTGTTTTTGCACCTACTACCTAATGGGCAGTGGCTGTAGTAAATCAAAACCATAACAAGGTTCTTATTTTTACCTACATATAAAGTTTAAATTTATCCCAGTCCTGGCCCATTGAAGCTTATGGCTACAGTGACAGTGATTCTAAACCTAGGGTCCAAATTACTAGTGAGTGTCAAATATCCCCATTGTAGCACACCCCCCACCCCCCTACCACATTAGTGTAATAACTATCCACCAAGCTTAAACCGTATCAGTTTCATAAAATGCAGCGAATCACCCTGTGGTTCTTCACCATTGATGAGATAATTATCACCTAAGACAATGGATGGTATTCCCACAGTGATAACTTATATTATATGTGAGAAGAGACTCTCTATCAAGAGAGGATCTACAGTATCAGGAGTGTTGCTACATTTGGAATCCAGCGACCCTAGAGGCTACCACTCTAGCAACAGCTGTGATAGAGGGACTAGAGTTACAGTGACTTACAGCAAAGAGAAACCATTGATACGTGGAGGGCCATGATGTAGAGGGGTCCTTTCTGCTTGGCGTAGGGATTATTTCTCGCGAAAACGTACGATTCCGTTTCGCTGGGATGCATCGTTTTCACCGGTTGAGGACACTGGTCTGTTGAAAGGTATGAAGGTGAAAAATGACAGAAGGGTAGGATATAGAAAGGGAGTTATCAGGGACCTTGGCAGTACAGGCACTCTGGTTTATCTGATTTGTCTGCTATTCATGGGAGGCAGCATGCATTCCTGCATGTCCGTGTGTACGTTCACAAAATAGCTTTGTCCATTTTACAGATGTTTTATTGTGGTGAAAACTTTGCTTCTACAAGTGCCAGATGATTTCTTGCGATTTCATGACATTAATTTTGTAGGTCTGAAGAGCCAGACAAAAATGATGGAAAAAACAGTGGCAATATTTACTTTGTGTACATGATAATTTAGCAAAATCACTTACAGATCTTCTCTCTGTTAATTCTTGATTTGCCAGATAATGATTAAGGAGTTAGACTGTTGGGCTGTTTAGCAAAACATTACAAAAAGAGGTAAATTTTGTAGGTACTGTAATACATTAGATACAATATCTCACAGCTAGCAACGTGATGGAATCCAGAAGTCCTACTGATATAGTGTTAAACTACCAGTGGTGTTGACAATACAGCTAGGGTTGTTCAAATGACTAATGCACTATTTACACTACACAAAAGATTAGCCCAGTAACAGGACAGTTAACAGTAGAAACCATTCTCCCAACTGTTTGTCTAAACTATTAGTGTTAGGAAGTATAAAGTCAAAGTGACCTCGCTCCAAATGAACTCAATGAACAGTTGAGCTACTCTTCCACTGGTCGTGACAGGGAAGACAGACCATGTACAGTATATATACAGGTTCATTGTACCAGGGAAATCCCCTGGCTCTTTTTGACAAGTACAATGAACAGTGGACCACAGCGTAAAGACTGTGACCTTTCCAGAAGTGTGCATGTTGGATGAACGAAAGCAGCCGGGATTCAAACTTGACTTCTTGGTCCAAAAACAGGGTTACCAACCTTGCACAATGCCTGCTACATGATGAAAGTTCGCTTTGCTGTGCTTAGTTATTTGTACACTTAATGGTCTTAAAAATGATAACAGTATTGGATTTTCTTGTTTACACAGATCTGGAAAACTTGCAGACGCAGCTGGCACGGAGAGGGTCACTAAACAACATGGAGGGCACGCGGACAGCCACGCTACGGTCACGACCGTCCAGTAAGAGAGTGACCACAGCCGAGCTGGAAGACTTATTCCAGCGTCAAGACTCAGACTACCAGTCCCCTAGAGCACTAGGTAATATTATAAGCTTTGAGAACTCCTACATGGCAGTCTGTTACAACTATTTTTATCTATAATAGTTAACCTTTATTGTTACATCTGCTCTTTACTGTTACATATACTCTGTACGTAAGATAACGTTATCCATACATGTATTTACATGTAGCTTTGTTAGATCTTTAGTTAAGTTGTAGAAGACCATACAAAAGTCTCTGTACTTTTCTGTTGTGTCAATAAAGAATCTCTATTGTGTGTATGTTTTTTTGTTCTACCATGATCATCATATTCACTTATCATAGGCATACAGAGATTTTCAATCTTAATACTCATACGACGTATCTTTCTCATTCTGTTTTAACCAGGTATCCAGCCCAGTGACGCTACATCAGAGTACCAGTCCCCTCGGACCATGGGCGTGGGGAAAGCCGTGCCAGTACCGACTGTGCCGCGGGGGAAAGCAGTACCGGTGCCGGTGGTCCCCAACGCGGCGATGCCCCCCCTGCCTCCCAAGCAGAGGCCGCAGAGTGCACGAGAGAAGATCGCCACCCCTCGGGCAGCCCCGGAGGTTGAAGACACCACAGTTGGAAACATTGTCGTAGAGAAAATAAGAAAGGACTCCATAAGTTCTAGTACAGACTCGAATAGTTTGTCTAACGTATCAGATTCTGCGCCGACTACGCCGACCACACCAAATTACAGCGAGATCACTGTTTCGTTTGACTCGCAGTCTTCAGTACGGAGAAAACTCATTCCCCCTCCCAAACCCTCACACCCGCCACCCCCTCCGCCACGTACTGTGTCGTCTTCATTCCGAACGGAGGCCGTCGAAACGAAAGCAACAACGATGCCCGCGTCGTATCAAGACCCCAACCTGCACCATCAGATCAAGATGGCCATCTTGAACCGACAGGACAGTACGCAGAGTTTACACGTGCCGCAGGAACAACGTCGTGTTCCCGACATGATGAGAAGTAACTCTGTGGGCGGCATCGAGCCAAAGGAAGTGGTGAACCAGAGAGCAGCGTTACAAAGGCGAGTTCATTCAGTAACATTCGACGGGACGTATCAGGTTAGAGAAATTGACGTGTACAACGATGGACAGAATGAACCGCCATACAGAACAGGCGGATATCAGCCACCAAACTCGGATGATAGACACTTGGTGAGGGTAGAAGGGCAGATGGAGAGCAGGCCGATTGTACGTAGGGATGTCAGCAGGACTGAACGTGTGGAGCAGAGTCCCAGGACCAAGAGAGAGAGCGTGAAGGCAACGGAACAGTTGAGAGGGAAGCTAGAGAGAACGGAGCGAAGGGAAGAAACGGAAACTGAGTCAGACTCAGAGGAAGGAAAGACAGGTTTGGCGCTGGAGCTCGCCAGAGCGGTTAAGGCACGCAAACAGAAGGAGAAGCTGAGCGTAAGAGACCAAAGGCAAGACGGGAATGCAAGTCCTAAGCAGGTGGAACCGATGAAGAAGAAGGAGATAGCATGTAAGCTGGAGGCACAGTTACAGAGACATACTAGTACAGACGCACTGCCTCCGACACAGCCCAAGTCCACCAGTCCCTCGGTGCAGAACAAAGTTGGTGCGTACAGAGCTCAGGTTGTGGTGAATCACTCCACCGACGATCTCAGGAGAAGCCCTGGAGCTGCGCAGCATCCTGACTCACCAAGGAGTCGGCAGCCCATATCTATGTACGACCAGGAGGAACACAACCCAGACTCAAGCTCGCCATTGGCCATCGCACTCGCTGCCAGGGCCCGATACGAGAGGTCTTCAAATGAGCACTTGGATCAGGTGGAGGGGGCCACCGGTGATGCCGCTTACGAGGAAAGGGCGGCTCACCTAACACCCATACGGGACTGGTACTTTGAAAACGAAGAGTATGTTGACATGAGTCCAGACATGAACTATGACACAGACCTCGCACTTGCACTAGAGAAACGCAGGTCGGAGATTGGGGAGCTAGAGGGTGTTCCCGCGTACAACGTTGGAATCGAAGAGAAGATCGAAAGACACCGCCAGGCGGCAACAAGAGGCGAGCAGTCCAACTCAAACGCAGCGCTCATCCAAGCGATGGCTGCCAGGAGGGCACGCATGGCCGGAGGTGACATGGACAATAACGATGACCTTCCCTTGCCCTTTGACCTCCCACCCCCAGTCATGCCAGAAGAGTTACTGGCGGCGGCTGAGGGGTTAACGTTTGACGAACCACTCCCTCCTCCACCCGAGTTTTCCGAGAGCGATCAGAAAACAAACTATTCTAGCCCGGCGCACGACACCCATGCTTATTACACCTCAGATTATGCGACTTACGCCCCGAATGGGCACCGGATGGAAGGGCGGGGATACTCGGGCCCGGAGCGTATTTACGACAAACCGATGCGGTACCCTCGCGACGAAGAACACAGCGTCGACTCGGGACACGCTGAAGGTTCTGGCGACACTGATCCTATGACCTTTGACCCTCACTGCGAAACGATTAGCACGATCTCAACGGTGTCCTCCATGTCGACCCTTTCCACGTTTTCCAGCGACAGTGGGTTCGATCCCCACCCCACGCTGCGTACAAAACCCCCCACCCCTCCCAAACCTCCCCAGCATAAGGTCGAGAAACGACGCGTATCCTTTGGGCCCAAACCGTCGTCCCCTCACGACAGACCGTCACACGGGAAAATGTCCAGCTTTTCTAGCGGGGGATCTAGAGAAGCGACACCAACAAATGAGTTAAATCAAGACACTAGAGGACACGGGTTCTACCCGTCAGGTTTCCATTCAGAGGCTTAAAACAACTTCCCTCTCATAGCGGAAGTATCGCACCATACCCTTTCTAGTCCCAAACATATCCTGTGGGTTGAATAGATTTGAATCCACCTATCAAATTCAAAAGAGAGCTACCCCAGACATTTTGATGCTCACATTGTATTACTGTAAAGTAAGCCCCTAATTACAGAAGTGTTTCAAGGGACCTCTATATTATTGGTGCCTAATTAATGTATAATGTACATGGTTTACAAGGTTTGATTTTTCACTTATGTCTGCTAATACTTTCCAAATAACTGTACTAGAAACTCACAGCCAGAAAAGACTGTCACTGCCACTGAAGATAGATACTTTCTATACCTTGTTCTCAGTCAACTGTGAGAATTAGTGGCTAACAAAGCTCATGGCTTTATGACTAAATAGTAAAGCTACAGTTTTGTATACTGTACTTACGTGTATGCAGGCAATACAAGCTGCTGGCTTCAAGATGGCTTCCACCTACTCACTCACACGATTACAGACTGACTCTGAATCAGCAGCGCAATGTGATGCTAGGTTTCCTACTCCAGTGTGAATTTTCTGTGCCACTTGGACAGTTCCTCAGCTGACTACTGACAGGTATTCTTGAGTGTGTCCAAGCCGTCCTGTCATAGTCAGCACAAGAATGTATGTGGCACGGAACGTCTTCTGAACATGGGTTTTTGTCCTATGTTCCAGTCGGCCATAGTTGCCATGGTTACATGGCCAGAGGCAGGTGGCAGCCATCTTGAAATACGAGAATGCGGTGACTTTGATGGCCAGTTGAACTCCTGTACCATTATTTATCATTAGGACTTACTAGTATTGGATAGAGCACATCTCAGTTCATATTCTAGGGCAGGGATGTATTGGAACATATCTTGCCATACCAAAGAGTACTGTTAGTAGTAGTCTCCCAATCTTACACTGTGTCAGTGTCCAGCATATCTATGGAAGTTGCTGAAATAGCAGCATTTCACTTGTACATGTTTGAAAGATGTTTCAGAGGATTGATTTTTTTCCTTTATCTTATTTTACGTTACAAAAGTCTGAAGTTATTAACAAGTTGCATGCCTACAAACTTTATGTTGCAGATGACTTGTGTACGTCTCATAGCCGCATTTTCGGTGTTACACCGACTTGTCACCTTGTAAAAACTATGCAGAAATACTCCGATGCATGGTCGCAGTAGAGGTAGCAAACAGCAAAAGAAATGATGTGTTGCAACTAGAGTTATTTTCTAAATCTCAAACAGTTCTTAAGAAAAATCACGACTCAAAGAGCATGTATACTTGTCACTTTATTACTGAAGAATCGTGGGATATATGATGGATTGACCAATGGAAGTATGGCATGGAACTGTCCAATCAGAGAGGACTTGAGATTGGCCAATCAGGTATGAGGAATGAACTATTGGCCAATCAGGAAAGAATATAGTTGGCGCTTATAGATGGAGAATATGCTTGATTAAGAGAATGTGTAAACCTTCATATGGGATAAAATAGTACTAGTGCTGTGCACTTTGTCGTCAAAGGTGGCACAACTTAATAATAATTTAAGACAAAAAAATTGGTACAACCTTTTGTACAAACGTAACATACTATCTTGTGAAGTACTTGATACAGTTCCGATGATGATAAGACAAGTTTTCTGTTTGACACTTGTACATAGATTCAGCTCTATTTATCAACACTTTTGTTTGTTCTTGCTAAGAGGAGTGCCCATACCTGACTTAAGTATACTCATATTATTGCCTATAAAACAAGCATTTCTGTTAACATTGTGAGATATGTGTATGATATGATACTTATCCATATAGTGTATTTTTCACAAAAAGTCAACTGAGGGTGTTAAGACCAGACAGCTCACATGGATTGTGCTTTTGTCCTGTTTGTATATTAGGAGGAATCTTTTCTCAGCTCTGCCTAACACTACTAGATGCAGTGTACAGAGGGTCTATTTTACTGAATAAAAGGAGTTGACTTGAATTCTTTGGTACCTCATGTGTTCATGTAGATTTTTTAGTTAAGATAGTCCTTTTCACAGTGGTAAAGGTTGGAGTAAGTTGAAGTACATAGTGACATAAGTAGGAAATACTGAAGCATAACTGGTATTCAGTGCTCCACCCCATTTCTGTTCAGAGTTACTTCAGTCGCATGTATCAAAAGTGACCCCTAACTTTCTCTGTTGGTACTGCAAGTCTATTGTACCGTATTTGGTGTAGTACAGCTAACATCATTTCATAAAGCGAGTATCTATAAGCAGAAGTCGCATGTGTCAGATGGGACCCCTAGCTATCGTTGTTGGTACTGCAACTCTGTTATACAACTTTTAGTACAATGTACTAGTATGTAGTACAGCTAATGTTATTTGATATAAGCTACAGTAGTATATATGTTTTCAACTTAAGAAATTCGCAATTACAGTAAATGTATCATATAGTATGGACAATACCTTAACAAAACGGTTATGTAATGTTAAAACGGTTATATATATATATATATATAAATACAATGGTGAGCTAGAATAGCTTAGTAAAAACCATAACCAAAGAATAGATAGTAAAACCAGTAGCTCACAACTTGCTTTTAGGTAAAACGTGGGACTCCATTATCCACTACCTTCAGATGTTACAACATGGTGTCTGGAAAGATGAAGTCAGGGCCCAGGATGTCGTTCCCAGTGGCTCTACAGACTGCAGACATGTAGTCTCGTTCCCGGTCTCCGAGCCAATTTGGCGCTGGCTCCGTCCACTTCTCACCCGCCATCTTGGTTCTATACAGGCAAACAGGAGGTACAGTTTATTTCTACCATGGAGGTAACAATTCATTGTGTGTGTGTGTGTGTGTGTGTAGTGTGCTCTCTCATTGCCCTACGATCATTGGTCGAACTACTTGAGTAAAAAAAAGTCGGACAGTCATGGTCGGTATTGAATTCGTCCCTTGTGACAAAGGACCGACCAAAGGACGATCCCGCCTACTTCGGTCAAAGAATGCAAATATTTGACCGACATGCAGCCTCTCATTGGTCAAGCCGCTAATTGTCGTGTTATGATTGGTTGAAGCGATAATTGTGGTGAGCAGTCAGGAAAGGTGCCAAGACACAGAAACACAGACCTACCTGGCAGACGCACATGTCCCGGCCTGGCTGTCCCTGTCGAACACTTCTCTCATCTTCTCTGCTTCTTCTCCGTGTTCCTCGACATCCCACTTCACGCCGAGGCTCTTCAGCAGCAGACGGATTGACTTCTCTTTCCCCTTCACCAAGGCGTCGTAGTAAACCAGGCAATGGAAGAAGTACTCCGGGTGCAGCCTCTGTAGCTCCAGTGCACGCTGCATGGCGCCAACCCACATGGTCGTGAGGTAGAAGAGAAAACTTCCGTAGCCACGCGACTGATCGGCAAATTTTGTATCATCTCCGAAAACTCTGACGTAGTCGGGTATCATCGAGACCGATAAACGTGATCGCATGAGGAAATGCACAATTTTCTTTCGAAAATACAATTTTGCAAATGACTCTAGATACCCCATCCCGTCTCTGTATATAAAAACATTTTTCGCAGACGGGAAGGCTCGGTACATCAAGTCGCCGATCAGAATAACGTCGGGTTTGAGCTTGTAGATGACGACATCCCGGTGACGAGGATCGGCCATCAGTAGATGATAGTTCAGCAGGGTGACGACGTTCCTTAAGAGCTGCACCATGTTGTCTTCATCTGACGAGACACAAATGTGAAGAAGAACGAGTCAGATGTGCATACAATCTAAATAATAAAGGGTTTTGATAGTGTAGTGTATCTAAAAAACTTGGAATATGGTACAAGTCATGAATGGTATGAAAGGTGGCATTGAAAAGTACTAATTTAGTGTTTACACATGTATGTATGGCGTACTAGGTAAATAGTGTAGCGTTGTACGAGTGTTAATACATGTACATGTATGTCAGGCTTGCCAGGCTGTTGTACAAGTACGTGAAAATCATTTGCATATTTGTGACTGAACAAATACGACACTGACCGAAACCAGTGTTCTGTCGGGCACGCCTGGCCTGGGTGACTGCCATGTTGATAATGGTGAACACTTCTGGCTCGCAGACCGCTTGAGCAACTGACGTGGCCTCGATTGCTCGTGTAAGGAGGGTGGAACCGCACCTTCCTGTGGGGAAAATAAAGTATGTTGATTGATTCATTGATTGACTGATCGATCGATCGATCCATTCATTCATTCATTCATTTATTTTCATTTCCATTCTTAATCCCTCCATCCTGGGAGAGCTTCTTGAGATAAAATGCATACATGTACATACAAATGTTATGTAGGGATCACTCCACAAAAAGTTGATTTACAAATAGTGTTTGAAGCACACAGCAGATATTCCAGTCTGTAGCCGTGATCTGTCGACATTGGCCTCATCATTACAACAATTGTTTTCATTCATCTTCGAAGAACCCTGGATAAAAAAAATCAACAGCAATCTCACCCGTCATGTAGATAAAACCATTCTGCACATGCGCAACCTTGGGACCAATGGCATCTGTAACATCTTGGAGATTGGAAAACGGAATGGAAAGGATCTCAGCTGCGGTCCTTCTTTGGGCCTGTTGGGAAATAAAAAATGCATTGAACATGTTATCATGAAAGTTCATAAGTTGGTGAATAACTTTGTGTAAAATCAAACTGTTCTCTCAGTCAAACAATTGGACTGAAAATTAGTCCTCTCTGGCGATATCGCTCAGGACACGTGACTTTGAGCATGCATGACATCAGCAATGGGTCAAAGGTTGATGGAAGTCTACATCGTCCCTCGTCCCGATTGAGAGAAGGTTAGTGCGCCCTGATCAGTCGAAAATTACGATCCGTTTTGGTCTAAATCGGAGAACAGTTTGGTTGTCCATGAAATGTGAATTTCTTTTCTTTGAAATATTGCATGTTAGAGTGCTAGTCGTTCAAAAAAATGTACGACTCACAAAAACGCAACATTCAAAAGGATACATGCATGCTTGTACAGTGTCATTCCACGAAATGCGAACACAGCCACGCTACAAATATCTAACGCTCGTACGCACCTCACGAAAGAATGGGTGGTCCTTAAGATCTGCCCCGTCCACTGGTCTTACCAAAACTGCCGACTCTTGTTCCCAGTCGATGCTGTACACACAAAACTCGTTCCCACGGCGTGTGAAGAACTGCACCACGTCGACCACAGGTTCCATGTTGTTCAGAGGGACAAAATCGTCCAGCGAGTTCATCGCTCTCTGATATTTCCTCTTCTTCGGCTGAACCCTCCTAGTGTAAGGCTGGGGTTGCTTCTCCTACAAGTTCAGAAATCTTGCGATTTTGTTACTTTTACGTACATGGGAGGTTTATCTTTTTTCTTGTGAGCAAGAAAATGCAAGCATGAAAGTTCATCTGAGTGGAAGTTCATGATGATAATGAAACAGTTCTCCAACTCAAGGAAATTTACTCTCCGGAATTTTCGACCGAATCGCCCAGTCTTCATCAGCTTCTGACCCAATTGCTGTAGACACGTGATGATTTTTTTTGCGAGAGGAGTGAAGGAAGCCAAGTACATGATCAGGGCATACCAGACTTCTCTCAACCGGGACGGGGGGTGGTACCGACTTCCGACGAATGTTGACCCACACGTCGGAAAAATCATGAGTCTACAGCACTTGAGTCAGAAAGCTGATGAGGACTGGGCGATTCAGTCAAATATACTGGTTGATAAACTTTTTTTCAGTTGGAGATCAGCCTTAAATTCCCATTAAGGAAATGGAAATAAGTTACGAACCTTGGGCCAAGATACCTCAACTGTTCGAGTCGCCAGCTGCAGGTAGTAGGCACCGGCGGCAATCCCGACAACTGTGAGGGCCGCCCACATGTAGCTGGTCGCCAACTGTTTCAGCATAGCCCAAACCGCCAGAAATGCCATGATGAACACTGGAACAACATGGATCCACTTATTCTCAAGGTGTGTGTGTTTGTGTGTGTGTTTGTGTGTGTGTTTGTGTGTGTGTGTGTGTGTGTGTGTGTGTGTGACTGTGTGTGTGACTGTGTGTGTGTGTGTGTGTGTGTGTGTGTGTGTGTGTGCGTGCGTGTGTGAACAGTGTAACTAGTGTAGATGGATTATCTTTATATTTGGTAGGTAGGTGGGTACTGTAGGTTCTGATGAGAGCTCGAAATGATTAGATTTTGTTAGATTAGAAATGTTTGAAAAAAGGATAACTCAAGAACCAATTCACGCATTGCCTTTATTTTCATACGTAGGTAGCTTACGTTATGCTTGAAATAATTATGCAAATCAGTATCTAATGACATAATTAATGACGAAATTCTGTAAATTTGACTCAAATATAAGTCAAATTCGATTCCATTCGTATAGAAAGGTAGGGTGGGCGAAATCAAGTCAGGGTGCTCCCGAATTTCAGCCAACCTTGGTCGGCCAGTGTTCGGAAAGAAGGTTCTGAATGCGTGACAGGGGATTTAATACAATGGAATAGAATAGTCCGAATTCACTCCCGCATTTGTAAGGGCAATAGCCGGAAGGTAGTTTTTAAACCTGTTCAGCCACTTCTGAACAGCTGATCTTTAACTTTTGACCACCATAAGACTAGTCGGTGTCCAAAAAAAACTTGTAGAAATCTGAAGTGTTTTTTTGTTGTTGTTGTATCTAATGAACTTGTACCTTCCCTCTAACAGCAAACGTACCTTTTGTCCAAAAATGCTTAATCCAGAAGGGTTGGTAGAGGATCTGACATCGCGGTCAACGTACGGTGGTCAGGAACAAAGAGATGGAGGTGTGGCCTAACTTTACTTGGTATGCTGAGCTACGTAACATGCAAATGTAGACGATAGACGAGTCCATTATAGAGTAGCAGGGGTATTGCCATGAGTAGAGTAGAGTGGAGTGGAGTGGAGCGGAGCGGAGCGGAGCGGAGCAGAGCAGAGCAGAGCAGAGCAGAGCAGAGCAGAGTAGAGTAGAAGCTTTGGTCGGGTAGGACGTCTGCCCATTATTGCTGATAATAGTGCAACAGTCTTCTTCCCCAGCACAAGAGCTACCTACCATTCAAATTTCGTGCCCCTAGCATGTCTAGATCATGAGATATCAAAACCGGAAGTGCCACTGCAGTACCATAACAAGCCGCCAGGGGGCCCAAAATCTAATTATTTCGAGGTCTCATCAAGACCTACCCGCCTACCAAATATATAGACAATCCATTTAAGCCTTCTCGAGTTATCGTGTTTACAGACAGGCCGCTCTCACGCAGTGTGGATTGCGACACACTGCACTGTTTCTCCCCAAGCTGTTTCCTGTTACCTGTCAACTGTACGTGAACTTCGGGGTGACAAGGTTATGTTTTCGGGAGCGTTCGTGTGTGTGTCTGTGTGTCTCATAACCTAGACATGCTAGGATCATGAAATTTAGATGATAGGTAGCTCTTGTTGTGGGGAGGAAGTGACATGAGTTTGAGCCCCCAGCGCCTTGCTCTGGAACTTCAGGGCTTAGCTTAAGTGTAGCCTGACTAATCGCGCTCCTGGCGGCCGACCGCCCCGTAGTTGCCACCATGGGGGTCATTAACCTCCGGCCGAGAGCTTGTGTAACACAGGCTATGTATGTGACAATTATGCAAATATGGAAGTACTAGTAACTCGTGGTCATCAAGTCGGCAAACACGCGCATGGGAAATGAGCTGATCAGCGGGGATTGGCTGGCGCACGAGCTGGACTTGATGATGATGAACGTTGTTCTTGTAGATGCCCGGGAAATGACAAATGCACAACACTGGTACGGGGATGCCATCCACCCTGTCAAGGAAATAGTCTTACAAGAATTAGAGTTTCTCTGTTCTTTTATTTGTCCCCTGTGAACCCAGAAACCCAGACTGTCTTATCTGAAGCGCTGTGTATATCCACAGTGCACAGTTCTCTGCATGTTAACTTAAAACAATTCTTGGAACATATTATTACTTCAATACTAACACTAGGTGCATTGTTAAGTCTACTACTACATGTACTGTGTATATGGTCATTGATTTTTAGTCCAGGACTTCTGATTTGTATTTTCTGACGACTTTCAGAAATACACAATGCAGAAGCCAGAAGGTAGGAAGACAGAAAGACTCCCTGTCAACTAGAGCAGTCGCTATTAGCTGCAGGGTAAAAAAAAAAACTACAACTTATAAACAGCACGATATAAACTACTAGATACTGTATGAACAGAAATAAGAAAAAATCATACTAGTACATTGAAGACACTACAGATCTCTAAAACAACAAGTACAATGTACTACCAGCTGAACTCTGACCCAACTAGGTCAGTGACCTTTGACCTCTCAGTGTAGTGTTGAACAAATCCCTGCCAACCTTCATCCTGTAACCATGGTTCCAGTTGCTTAGCAACAGGGATGGCTGGGTCAGAGGTCAACTCCAAGGTCATCTCCAGTTCATGTGCTGAGATCAAGTGTTTTGTGTTGAGGCCTTGCTGTTCCATATACAGTGCACACTCCCTCCATCCTGCATTTAACCACCACTCGGCAAAGCACTCCACTATGGCATCGGGCAGCTCACTGTTTGGGGAGGTAGGGTGGCTGTTGGAACTGCAGATTTCGCTGTCCCAACCCTCAGTAGTGGGGAGGGGTAAGCAACTATTGGAAGAGCTAGCAGCTTGTTGCCAATACAATTGCATATCATACGTTTCATAACCAAAGTTGGGATGCTCATATGCAGGGAGGGAGTTGGGTATGTTGGAACAGCCAAAGTATCCCAAGGGGGCCGAGGGCTCTCCATCATCATCATCATCCATCTCACTGTCTGATGACAGGTCACATGACTGGGTGGGAGGACAGGATTGGTCTGTAGAGAATTCAAAACAAATGTTAATAGAATCACTTCATGATCTTTGTCCAGTCTCTAATACAGCTGTATTACATCTCTGACACTAATGACTACTACGAACTTCAACATTCATTCCTTCCTTCATTCATTCATTAATTCATATGATTTAAGGTTAGACATCCATGTAATAAAATAAAAATTAAAAAAAACAGTTACCCAAGCAAACGGTCAGACGTTTCAGGTAGCATCCACTTACGTCGGTAACACTGTTGCGATCTCAAGATCAACAGGTTATACAACTATTGATATGCAAATAAAGTAAAGACAAATTTAACTGTTTCAAATTCAGTCATGTGTTTTCATTTTGACATTAAAAATTACCGTTACCCTGGTTCACTGCTTTCTCATCTTTCTTGACAGCATCTTTCTTGTTCTTGTTCACATCTACGAGCACCTTCAACAGTGGTTTCCCCCGTTTGGCTTTCCTGTTGGTATAGCCCACCAGACTAGGCTTCTCTGCAGACTTCTTTTTCCCTGTCTTGCCCACTGGAGCCTGGGTTTCCTCCTCTTTGGTTGTTTCCCACTCAACATCCTTTCTGAGATGGCCCCCGCAGTTACAGATGCTGCACTGAAATAGAGAAATGAGACACTGACGTTTGAAGTTGAACTTCTAGTTTCACACCTCCATGAAATATCTAGAGCCCCATATGCTGTGATTTCGACCCCCTAAAGTGGTTAAAAGACAGTGTAGGGGGTCTTCTTTTGGGGAACTTTGTGACTCTTCATAAATCTTCAAGAAAAATAAAAATTTGACCTATTAAAGAATGAAGCTATAACCAAGGAATTAATTGAGCTGGAAATATAGCCTGGGTACCATCCAGATTTTCGCTACGCAATGCTTGAAAAAATCGAAATGGTCTACTGGAAATAGTGTTTCAGAGGGTTTTTTGGGACAATACCAGACCCCATACTGTGGGGTCACTTGTTTGAGACTACCACCCCAGATAGATGTCCTTCTGTACCTGAATCCTACGCTGTAAAAAGATCCTGGTGAGAACTCTGCCTTCCCACACCTCTGCTTGAAGTTACAGTACAGTGATATTGATGACACACTGCCACACAGCATACCTTACTGGTGTTGTACCAGATTTTGGTCCAGAGCCCCTGGCGCATCTGTGCGTCCGTGCAGCGCATCCGGGTGGACCGTCCACTTTTCACCAACACCTTCAGCAAAAACTCCTCGTAAGCCTCAAAACAGCTCTTGTGCATCAGGTTTCCCTGCAAGTGAGAGGGAATAAAAATTTATTTTACTGATATTATAATTTATAGTGATGTAAGAAACAGAGGCGAGCAGTAGAAACAGAAAAAAACTCCCGGGCCAGGGTTCGAACCCACGACCAAACCCGAGAACCAGGTTCAAACCAGCTTCAAGCCAGCTCCTACCAATTTGGCTGGGTCAGATGGTAGCGCCTATAAACTCAGTGACAGCAGTGAAAACACTTGCAAACCTGTAAATTTGGGGCTGGTACGTGTATTTCTGATGTCTACCTGCAACTGCATAGGAGGGTCCTGGCAAGTGGCAATGCTTACTGGCACATTCTGCATGGCCGACAACAGTAAACGGTAAATTCAGGATGGTCGGCAACGATTTGTAAATTTGGGCGTGTGAATTGACAATGCACAGTTAACATATTGTTAGCCTTACTGTTTTTAATCATGGAAATTGGTAGCCTGGTATCCAGCCTTGTTAGCTTTAGTCCGCTTCCCAAGATCGGACTAAAGCTAACAAGGCTGGATACCAGGCTAGGAAATTGGCATGTGAGCATTAACCAAAATGTGCCCCACTGTGACAGTCACAGTTGTTATGCAAATTTCTGGGTGGTAAAAAAAATACTAGTAACAACACCCAAACCATGGAGGTAGAACCAAGGAGGTTTAAACTTCCTTGCCCAAGCTAAGGCCTGCTACTAGCATAATATTTTCTTGTCAGTAATTTCGATTTTTAAATCGTCCTAAACTTCGACAGTTCATGGCTTCTTTTACTTGTTGTTTCCTGTCAAACACCACAACACTACAAGAAAAGATGCCGATTTGCCTGTTGCTATATTTGGTTGTTTGTAAGCGATAAACTACAAGTAGACTCTTTAAAAAAGCACAAACCTGGTCACACTTTGTGTTGGTGCATTCCATCCTGACTACGCCGTCCTGGTCCAGCGAAACCGCGCCGCCCTCCCCACACCCGCGCGGCGTACAGCACACCATCGGCCCCCCAGGCGTCCCCGCGTCCAGCTCCCGCCGACTTTTCTCCTCTTTATCCGCAGTTTTACTGTCGGAGCTCTTCCAGCGAGCTTTCTTGGCGACTGAGTTCTTCTTTGGGGCCATTTTTGAGGCTAAAAACGCTAGAAAAACAAGCTAAAAAGTTCAACAGTTGTTACGGAGTTGTACTGACCAGAAGAGTCTATCTGCAAACCTCCGCGGAGATGAGCTCTGCGAATTTGCTATAATTTATTTGCATCCGCGGAGTAACGATTGGCCTCAACTTTGCATGACAATAGCCTGGTAAATCGCGCTCCTAGCGGTCAAATAACTCATGGCAGTGAAAGACTGTATTTATGGCTGAACTTCGAAAGTATTCTACAATCGGGAAGCAGAGAAAATTATGTTATGAACGGTGAAAGAAAGTAATAAAGTAAAGATGGCAATTTGATCTCACTAAAAGCATGAAAAACTTTTTTGTAGTACACGTATACAATTGAGATCAGCCAACACGCACATTCATCATCAGTGCATTTACATTTATTCATGGCCCAGAATCTTGAACATTCCGTATGATGGTGACTATGTTTTTATTATGGTATGATGGTGAATATGACTCTATTACTTCCGTTTACCAAGTTCTGTCATTGTGTCACCGTGTTACAACTTGAACTGGGTTATTACAGAATTAGCGATTGAACGAATGAATAAATAGATAAATAATATGGATGGATGGAAGGATGGATGGATGGATGGATGGATGGATGGATGGATGGATGGATGGATGGATGGATGGATGGATGGATGGATGGATGGATGGATGGATGGATGGATGGATGGGTGGATGGATGGATGGATGGATGGATGGATGGATGGATGGATGGATGGATACTAGGTATATATACTAGTATTTCATTTGACTATCGAGATCGACATTTAGCATACATGTTCAAGGCAGTAGCTATTCTTCCTGTGGTCATTATACGCTACAAATATTTTTTTCCACATTTCATCTTAAACGTCAACAGTTTGAGCTTCCTCCGACAAATCCGATGGGCGAGTACTGCTAGTAGTATTCCCCTTACGCAGACACAGGACTCCCAAAACTGCCAGCACACCTGCGAAGATCAGCATCAGAAAAACAGACAGCGTGATAGCAGCGCCCTCTTGTGGAGTTTGGACACCGTCCAACCACTGGCTAGGGTTCAGGTACTCTGGATAAAGGCCAAAATACAATGTACACAGATAAGAGCTGTGAATATGCTGATATTATAATCAACCATTCAGAAAAATACTTGTATGATATTACACCAACTTGATCCAAAGTTTAGGCCAAAAGAACGACTGAAACAGCAACTGAGTCGCTCTTTCTATCAGTCTGTTCTTGATCTACTGTAATATTAATATCAAAACCTGTATTCTTGTGTTACTCTTTGGTCAAAAAGCTCACCTAGAAACGAGGGAGCAGTCACGTTCTTGCTGCTTTGTTGCCGACTTTCACCAGCCCTAAGCTTGGGCCCGGGCGGAACAAGAAACCCTTTGACTGCTTCCTGTACAAATGGCACCTCTTTACACATTTCCTGGTCTGGTCGCAGGAAAGGAGACAGACAGAGCCGGCTGGGGCCGTGAATGTTGCTCGGTAGAGGCACACGCTTTGACAGGGTGACCTCGGACGAAGAGTCCACGAGTAGTTCAAACGCGAACGGGACTCCCGGCCGGTTTTCCGCGGTCAAAGGCGTGATGGAGCCCGCCAGTGATCCCACCTCTGCCACCAGTGTGATGTTGGCGTAGCGATTGGAGAACCGGTCCAGCACCACTTCTGCTGTAAAATCACCCACGTGGGAAGGGCCATGGAGACTTAGACCAGAAGACACCAGGAGGGCTAAGAAAGTGGTATGGAGGGACAACCGGCACATTGTCGTTTTTCTAATGCTTGAATACTTCAACCTTTACCTAGGATGTCCGTAAAAGAAGAGACCTTTTTTTTCGATCAGACTGCCACAGTACCTCGTGACTCGTAACTGTTTACTTGTTCGACTATTTTTTTCTAACTAACTCAAAGAAAATCGAATTCGGGAATCCTGTAATTGTTCCCGTGTGATAAAAAAATATCGGTACACATAGGGGCCGGTCATCGATATCGAGGATCCGTTTGTTCAGTATGGTCAGTATTTCTCGTTTCACCAGGACTTTTATTAGTCTCCATTGCACCAGACCAACAAAGCGGGTTTGAATTCAAAATGTATTGTTAGAAATAATTGGCCAGGGGAGTTTCGTCACTGTATAGTTCTTTGGCTCTCCCGTGGACTGCTGGCCAATATTATTCCCCTTTTTTGCCAAATTCTACGATCAGCACCCCGGTACGGCAGGAAAGTCTACGAATGCCTGCTGAAAGCTAGACCTTTGACACAGTGGAGCCGCATACAGTACCACCATCCCTTCTCGTGAGAACATGGCGTATAGCATAAGTGTTATCGGGAAAAGATTGAAGAAAACAGAGTACATGTATGAGCTTTCGATCGATCCGTTTTACATTCTCGTGTGAACAATGCGAATGTTCACACGTTCAGGTAGATACTGTTTGGTCGAGGGAGAGGAAGGAACTGTGTGGGAAAGACCAATTTGATCAATAAATCAATACAGTTTACGACCACATTGCACACATTCACTCACCAAAAACACGTCATACACCAAATACCACAACGCCAATCGTGTTGCTGCATGTACAATTCAATTTATTTGCATTTTGTGCCAAGGATAGTGTACACAAGATTCGCAGCAAATGTACATATTGATTTTCCAAATCAATTCATAATTTTACACTTTATTGACAGCCTATGCCAGTTGTACAACGAACTGTGTTATATAGCCATGCATTCAAGTACCAGAGTACCAACCAAGGATTGAGGTGTTCAAGAATCAATTCTTTCCTAGAACTATCGCAGAGTGGAACTCACTGTCACCAAGTACAGTAGGGGCATTGTCAATAGATAGCTTTAAACAATGTCTAGAGATAGAAGTTCAAGGGTTAGGTGTAACAAGTCGATCGGTGTAATATAGCCAGCTGCCGCCGCGCCGCGTGCCTGCGAAGCTGGTGTGTTACACCGAAAGGCGGTTATACCGGCTAGACAGATACAGATACAGATATATTATATATAGGGTCCTGGGGATAGCTTACTTACAAGCAGCTGGCAATATGCATATAGTAGTAGACATCCTTCCATCTCATTTTGGTCGTGTAAATGTATGTCTTGTGTGCCTAATCAGTCCTCATATATATACACTCTGTTTAGTAGCAATATAGAACATGTTTAGTATTAGGTACAACTGCTCACTGTACCCTCCATGTATATAGTTTAGTGTAATGTAGAATGTACATGTAGAGTCGAAATATTCTATAGCCAGTACGTAGTTATTTATAATACTCTGTCAGATACAATGTCCGTTGACCATATGTATAGCATTATGTTAGACACATACCAACTAGTAATTTTATTATTTGCCATACATTGTACCCGTGACAATCGTTGTGCAATAAACTTTGACTTGACTTGACTTGACTTGACTTGACTATAAGGTTACATGTTATAAAGTAGTGCTAGCGCTGCTAGTGCATATTGCCATCCATATACATGTATTCTTGTAGAAAATTAGAGAGTATATAACGATATATATCTTCGGTTGAAAAGATCCATTTGAGTCACTGACAAGCATTCGTGTGTCAAACACGAAAGAGGACCTTCTAGCTAGTGGTGATTCAATGGGTTACTATAATCGTCTCCTGATTGGACCAGACCTTGTGACGTCATATCCGTCTTCAGCACATATCGGCTTGTTCTGTTCTTTGATGCCTAACAACTGACATCTCCACTCCTTCGCCCTAAAAAACAGAAGTCAGAGATTTTAAGATTATGGAAAGTACGTATCCTGGGCTTCCTGAATTCCCCCATGTTGGCTCACAAAACCCCCTAACACTTCCCGGTATTCTGAATTTAACAATTTCTTGTTTTCTTCGCCCTAAAAAAACAAAATCATGGATTTTAAGGTTATGGAAAGTATGATATGTATTCCTCGGCTCCTGAATTCCCCCATGATGACTCCCAGGTCAGACTCTGAGTCATTCCACATGTCACTCTTCCCCATCCATGTGCAGTCAACCTTCCGGCCAAACAGCCTGATGACACACACACACACACACACACACACACACACACACACACACACACACACACACACACACACACACGCACGCACACACACACACACTCACACGCACGCACACACTCACATGTACACACACACACACACACAGCTCAGCTACCCGAAACAGTACGCAACATTGTTCAACAACCTTGCACTAGAGGTAAACTATTCAGAGCGAATGTATACTCACCCATTTCGGCACCTTTGTTGTGAAACATCCTGCCATGCTGACGTAACCGCAGATCTTGATGACCAGAAAGGTGACCACTATGAACAAGGCGATGTCCAACAACATGGCGAACAGCTCCAGCCAGCCCTGGATGCCGTTAAACCATTCGGCAGGGTTCAGAAAGCCTGTATACACGAAAGAGAAAGAAAAGAGGCCCCAAAAATGATTAAGAATCAACGTAACGAAATAACGGTTCAAAAAAAGAAGAAAAGAATTGTTTAAAAAACTCGTACAGTTGGGGCATCATTACTAGAAGGCTTTAAACAGCTCCTGCAGTTAGATGTACAGACATTGGGTGTAAAAGGTCATTATACATTGTACTAGTTAAGTAAAGTAGCTAGCTGCCGCCGCGCCGCGTGCCTGCGAAGCTGGTGTGTTACGCCGAAGGGCGGGTATACCGGGTACTAGAATACACTTATACAGATATATGAATTTCCACTTGTTCAAAGACTTTCCTACACTTTTAACAGGTGGCTTTTAAAAGCTGAACCTGAACGGCAAACCTGAAGGACAGAAATCTCACCGAAAAAGTCGAGGAGCCAGTTGAAGTTGAACCCCGCGCCGGCGTCCCCGGGATTGCCGGGCCCCCAGGTGGGCGGCACGAGAAAGTCCTGCAGCGCCTCCTGTACGAAGGGCACGGTTTTGCAGACCTCGTTCCCAGGCTTGGAAAGCGGCGACAGACACATCCGACTCGTGCCGTTGATGGCTTTCGGCAAAGAAATGCGTTTCACGGTATCTGTCGCATATGGAGAGTCTACGTGTAACTCGAACCTATGCACTGTACCAATGCTATCTGCGCCTGTGCTGTAGGGTGTAATAGACCCCACGAGTGATCCCACCGCTGACACCAATGTTATGTTGGCGAATCTGTTGGAATGCCTGTCGACTCGAACTTCGGCCGTAAAATCGATCAGATCAGAGTCATGGTAGTAGAACAGGACGTTCGTCGTGGTGTTGATCCCGATCTTGACCATGATTAGCCGATCATACCGCGGCACGACCGTGACCGAGCGCCGCTGACGGGAGTACCGAACCCCCCGTATCCAGTCGTAGAAGTCCTCGACGCGCGATCCGGAATAATCTTCCCAGTTCCCGTGGCCGTAGATCTGCCACGTCTCCGAGTAGTCAAAATTGTTCCAACATTTCTTTGTCTTCAGGTGGAAGGTATTGACCACAACTCTCTCTGGCGGTCTCTCCAAGGTCCCATCCTCGCCAACTTTCAGCCATCCCATCTTTCTGGGGTCGAACTCATTTAGACCGTTAATGCTTACGTCTGTGTATAGCTGTGTTCCTTCACTTGCGGCGTAGTAGTACCCACTGTCAATCTGTGTAGGGGTGTCGCCTGTCACCTCCATTCGTACCCAATGTTGTGCCTTGTGAGATCTATCGTTTAGAGCGACCGTGAACGCTGGATAGGACAACACAACATCGTCAGTCCTACTGTCGTAGACTTTGAGGGACAACTTGACGACTGGTTTGCCGTCCGAGGACAGGTACACGGCGTCGTATTTCGGTGATTCCGGGTCCTTGCCGACGTGAAGAGCGCAGCAAACTTCGGATTCTTCGCTGTTCCAGTACACATCACAACCGTGTGCCGTCTGGTCGGATATGTACGTGTTGTAGCAGAATTCTAGCTCATGTTCGGAGCAGAGGTCTGTTTTAGAGTTGCAGGTGTCCGCATACTGCGGGCAGTCACAGATGCACTTTGATTCGTACTTCGGTCTGAAGAAGGAGTACCGGTTCTTGACGGCGTAGTCCATCTCGATGCCTTGGTAAGTCAGTTGCCATAGCAACGGCACGCTCCCGTTCGTTGCCATGGAGATGGAGACGCCGGCAGAGCTAGCGTCGTCGTTGGCGAGGTCGTCTAAGGTGAAGCAGAGGGTCTCCCCGGGTTTCATGGACGACTGGATGAACGTTTCCACGAAGGCCTGGGCGGACTCCCGGCTGGAGTACCGGACGTGGCCGGTAGTCGGCAGTGTTTTGGTACATCTGTTGCCATGGCTACCATAGACGCTAGCCAGCAGCAAGACGGCGCGTAAAACACACATGATGGGTGAATCTAATGAATGAAATTGACAAAAGTCGCACATTTAGTTGGAAGATTTTATGAACTACGTATTGTTGTATTCATAGTGTTAGCACCAACGTAACTGCATTTTGTCTGGAAACTATAGAAATCCAGACATCCAGGAAGTATACATGTTTTGTGTGACCGTGAATATATTGGAACTGTGTAGAGGACTTAATGACTTAATTTTTTTTTTAATCCAACATGTAATCACCAGACGTGGTGACGACACACTCAAGTTTTTTCAACTTATATTAATGCCGCCACCAACGCAGGGGACAAATACATGACAGGACAATACTCATTTACACCTGAGCTAAGTGAAGAAAGCCGTGTAAAGTGCCTTTCCCAAGGGCACAAGATCGGTGGCATGTCAGGACTCGAACCCGGGACTTAAAGTTCCGAGTCGCGCACTCTGCCGCCACGCCACACGACCCCACGAATGACTTAATTCAGTCGGGTATTACACCTAGCCTCTACCAGGCTTCGGGAGGCGGCTGGAAAGAGTAGAAATCGGCCAAATAGAGAGATAACATGCCAGGGGAGTTGGTCTGCTGGAGAGTACAGTTTGCTGTCGACCATTTGTTGGTTCCGCTTACTCCCACTCGGCGCGTGCAGGGTCATATTGAGGCTTGACCTCCCTGTCAATCAACTGATATTGATCCACCCATTCTTGGGTATCTTATACAACTAGCCAAGCTTACACATACATCAGGGCCCATCACCCTACATTGAACCGCGACGGGGGCCGACATCGTCTACCAGATACCTTTGACCCAGTGTTGACGTCACACTTCAAAGAAGCCACGTGACAATCTTCACTGGGTCAGTCTACTGAGGAAGACCAGAGTGACTGGTCGAAAGCTCTAGGTGAGAGAATTTTTTTGTGTTGGACCAAAAGTTTTAACTTTAAACATGTAACTACCAACGCAGATGAACTTTCATGACAAGCTTACACATACATAATCCCTCAGGAAACCCATCCAAAACAGCGAGCACAAGTCTTGACTCGAAAGTTCGCCCACGCCCAATATAATCTAATAATATAGATATTCTTGCGTTTATATATTCATATAAACATTCACTTCCCTTGTCATATTGAAAATCGAACCTACAAACGTAATGCTTCAGATATTTTGGGGGAACTGCTTCTAATTGTGAAACCTAACATCATTGTTCATCATCATCATTGTAGAGTGACAATAAAGACTCAAAAGAGTGTTTTTAAGTGAACGGTTTCTTTTTTAAATCAAACCCAGTCATCTCTGCAGAGAACGGACCAATAGGGAGTCTTCTTTATCTTATCTTCTTATCTTAATAATACTGGCACAAAGCCCTCTCGGGCATAAACGTCCAGGGGTAGGTCATTGGTGCACGGCTAAGAACGGCCGGTGGTGGAAGTGCTCGTATCAAATATATCAAATACAAAAGTGAAAAAGGGTTATGTACATGGTGCTAAAAATAAAGAAAAAGGAAAAAAAAAGTGATGGCCGTCTTAGCATGATGTCTATTTACTCATGTATGGGGTGGCCCATGTATCGGGCCAACCCCAGTTTAAAATTCGAGAGTGATGTGCATGTAACTGTGTCAGTAGGTAGTTGATTCCAATCAGATATTGTGCGTGGGATGTAACTACTGCGGTATGTATCTGTTTTACAGTATCTTTGCGTTTGTACATATAATTACGTTTGAAATTCACTCGTTCTTTGCTTTTATTTTATGACTACTAGTGTTACCGGTGTTACATATGATCAGTTGGCAAGCGCAAATCTGAAACATCTGGTAGAATTGATTTTTACGACATGTTTACTTTTTCCGTGGGAAGGCTATAGCGCACAGAGTCTCAAAGGTAAAATACAAGCCTGTTGTGTTTGTTTTCACGTGTGACCGCGCAGGTATGAATGCTCAAATGACTTCGTCGACAAATTTTTTTGTTGTTGTTGTTTTGGAACGAAGATGTTTTGTAGACTTTGTCTTTTCAAACTTTGCAAAAGTCACCTACTAGCTATACATGTATATAGTAGAGTAAGATCTTCACAGGCTAAGATTTTAACACTCGGTCGACGTTCGCCACACGATCGCAAACTGAGGACCTTCTTGGAATAGTCTAGCCTCTACAAGGCTACCTCAACTCGAAACTGAGTAGAAACTTTTCCTCAATATCCAAGCAGATCTTTTAGTGGCTGCAAGACAGTATCAAATTGGTCAGGTATTATCCATTTGCTAGCCTCTCCCAGGCTTGGGGAGGCGGCTGGAAAGAGTAGGAATCGTTTAGAGAGATAAGCATGCCAAGGGAGTTTGTCCGTTGAGAGAACATTTCGCCGCACAACGGACAAACTCCCTTGGCATGCTTTACTCTCTATCTGGCCGATTTCTGCTCTTTCCAGTCGCCTCCCCAAGCCTGGTAGAGGCTATCCATTTGCCAGGCAGTTACCATTTGCCACCGGAAAGGCTGGAGTAAAAAGTACAGAAAAAAGAAGAAGAAATCCCCATAAAAACGCTTAAAACAGCTAAAAAAAAAAGCAAAAGCCCAAACCTCTGCTTGGAGGGCAGTCTTTTCCCTCACCGCCACTGACCACGCTTTGGTAACATAAATTGAAGATCAAACATATTATGGATGAAACAAAGAAAAACAATACTTTGTGTGCAACTCACCTGTCGTAGTACTCTTCTACCTCTTGCAATAATACAGTCCCTCTTCGAATGAGTTTTATAGGTTGGGTGGATTCCCAGCCGTTTTGTTATGTATGTACTTTTTAAAACTGACCAATCACGATCGCAATGATTAACTGGGTGCCGATTTTTTTTCTCACAGGAATCAAAGCATATCTGCAAACATGGATTCGTCAGCGTGGCAAAAATAGATCTCAGAGGAAACGGCTTGTACACAAATAATAAACAGGTTTTGAAGATCAAGACAGGTGTTCGTGCCAGTTATTTTATTTGTTTGTTTGTTTGGATTTGTTTGTTTGTTTGTTTGTTTGAACCATTCTTTATTCATAGGAAGCTCAAATCGACCTGCAGGCCGCTTCTCATTGAGGTCATGAGGGAAGAGGTAAGGGTCAGGCAAAATATCTAAAACTTATACAGTTTATATCATCTAAAATCCAAAAGAATCTGTACACATATTGGCTGTTTTTCTTTCAATGTAGTATACTAGTAATTGGCACTTATTGACTTGTGTGAGTGATTACTAATTTGTTAATAAAGGATAAGAAATTAGATTTATTTGGCTGTTTTTCTTTCCAATGTAGTTTAAGTGGATGAAGAAAGACGTCAAATATATCATCAATGGGCACTTATCTCAGATTAATCACGTTGATTACATTGATTAATGGTTGTTGGGTTTACAATCCAACACGCTTGGTGACGCTTTTGAGCCACTCACTGATCACGTGATGGAAAGATGTCGTCATTTCTAGCAGTTACCTGATTGGTCAATAGTTGGACAATGGTCCGCATGATGTCATCGCGATTCCCTAATTGGCCAATTTTGAATTGTGGTACGGACCCTGATTGGTCGCCGTAGACCACGTGATTAACCGACGCGCGAAATATTAATCAGACAAGAGACGGTGTCAGCGAGTTTGCTGTTCAAATTTGGGGCGGTTTTGTGACCTTTGGTGGTTTTCTGCTCACAAGTTCGCGATCTTGGGGCCCCAGCCTGTCTTGGCAGTACTTCTCGGACCCAAGGACTGCGATCTGAGGGAAGATCTGAGAGAATTTCGCGTAGATTTACGGATTTTCTCGCCATCGCCCCCCTCCCCACGTTGGGTGTGTATCACGTCGAGTACTAGTAGTGGCCACAGCTGCCCGGAAGCTTTGAGTAGTGGCCGTCTGCGAGAAATTTTGTAACATCCCTTGACATACTTCTGGTCAATTTTTTGCTGAAGCTGCACTTCTTTCTTGGACACCTAAACCTTGTCGGAACCTTGCTGCACCATATGCCGTTGAAGCTGAGCTCGTGTTCGGGCGCGATGGATACGGAAGACCCCGTAGCGCAGACGTTGGATTTCGGGGACGGCATGGGGAGCGACGGGGAGCCCACAGAGGATTCTTTCGGTTCTTCCGGACTATCCAGCCCAAGTTTCACCGGGTTTAGGTCAGTATTTTACCATTTTCCCTGTCTTTTTGATCCTCACAGCTTCCCCTATGTCTTAAGAGATTGCGAGAGGTATTTGGTGATGTTTTTATGCTTGGCAACATGCTTGTTTTCATGCCATATGTCGCAACATAGCAAGGACAATAACAACCGTATCGAATGTCTCCATTTTGCCGTTTACATAAAGGTGACATAATTGCTACCTTGTCGTAAAGTTTAGATTAGAATAGTGTCGAAATTTGGCAACATCTTAAAACACTAAACACGTATCTCTGTAGATAATACACTTTAGATTGCCCCAGTACGGTATTTTTGAGGTGAGAAAATGTTAGTAAAGTGGTAATTAATTTGTGGGTTTGTGGACGGAAGTCGTGTGAAATGAGTCATACGATGACGTCATTAGAAAAACTGACGCAACTGACTCATATATTTCTTACTAAACTATTGTTCTGAATATAATAGTTTACTAGTACCTTGATAACCAAATAAGGTAATTTCCGTCACAAAATTTCCACAAAGTTACCGTTATTTTTATTCATGTCTATGTTTTTGTGTGTAAATGTACCATTTGTATTCTAAATTTTGGTTGCCTGTAACACCTAGATGTTAATTTATGCTAGGTCACTGCAAACTGTGCCTTCTCACAGTTTTAACATTTCAGTGGCTACTGTGAATTGCCTTAAACTGTTAGCATTGTTTTATAGTTTCATTTTTTATTTTTTTGCAATGAATTATCACAAAGCTTGAAATCTCAGGGTAAAAAAAAACTAATTTCTGATTTTTCCCCTTTTTGTAGGAGTAAGACTGACCTTGACACTTCTGACAAGGATGCCTCGCTGGACTTCTGGGACCCCGACCTCGCCAGTCCGACCCCTAACCCCAGCCCAGTCAAACGTAGCGTACGGTTTGCGGTCTCGCCAGAAGCCAGTCCCAACACCAGCGGCAGTAGTGGGGACTGTTCCCCACCCCACAAGTCTATGCAGGTACGCATACAACTCTTCGTTGTTCAGGGTTCTAGCTAGGATTTAATTTTAGCGTAGTGGCACTGGCCGCATGTTGAGGAAACAAAGCGACCGAGGGGGGGGGGGTGGAAGGGGGGAGGTGCCCCTCTTTCGCAGTGCAAAGCTTTTTAAAATTTGAGCTAAAATTAAAAAAGAGGCCATTTTAGGGATAGGAAAAAATGTTATTTCTAAGGTATGTACAATGTATTCTAACTGGATTGGTAATTTTTCACATTCGATCTGGCATTCTTGAATAAAGAAATACATAAATATAATGCCCCTAAGCTGTATTGAAAATTAGCATAAGGGCGAAAATTTAGCGTGGGGGGTCAAAATTATAGCGTAGGGGGCCACTACACTACTTCGCGCTAGCTAGAACCATGTTGTTCGTTTGGTACATCTATAGTTTTGACGTGCCAGTTTTGTACAATAAGTACAAGCTGTGTGAGACTGGACTGTACAGTTTCATCCACTCACACAGTGATGGAGAAGTGTGGTGGAATCTTCAACGTGTGTGGCTTTCCTCAAAGCCCTTAGCGTCCCATCCAAGAGTAATCTCCAAGCAGATCCCTCTCGGTGGCAAAAAGACAGTATCAAATTGGCAAGGCAGTATCCATTAGCCGGAGAAGCTCCATTAGCCACCGACGGGTGGGGGTCAGGACAAAAAAAACAGCCATATATAAAAAGGTAACGATCATTCCCCACAACCTCTGCATGGAGAGTATCCAAGAGGACATCCCTAATCAAAACTCCTTTTCACCTGAGTTGAGTGGAAAAATAGGTGTGAAGTGCCTTTGGGTACTACATTGGGGTCTTGCCAGGGATTCGAAACCACCTTACCACAACCTCTTGTATTGGCATTTTTATCAGAGTTGTAAAACACTCAACTGGAATTGTGATATTGAGAACATCTCATACCAAGAAGTTTCTAAACTAGTGCATTTTGCACTGCTAAGTCAGTTGTTCCAAGGACAAATTATAGCACTTGTTATAGCACTACATATTAGACAAGAACAAAATGCACTCAGGTAAACACAAAACTGACAAGAACATGATTGATTTTGTTAACTGACTGAAGATCAAATTTACCTGTGCTTCATTAGAAAGCATGGTAAACAGAACCAAGAACAAAGGCAATAGCTCTATTTCCTCATCACAAATTTACCAAAGTAACTAATTAAAGTCAAAACTGACCACGAAATGTAGAAGACCACTCGGGGGACAGATAAAATGTGGTCTATATTGACAGGAGGTGGTCACTATAGACAGAATTCATAATGCTTGTGTCAATGGGGAAAATTTGTCTAAAAAGTAAGGGACCACCAAAAACTGGTCACATTGGCCAGGTGGTCACTTGTTCTGGTTTGACAGTAGCCACCATGAATAGGGAATGTTTGTGATTTTGTTTTGCACTTAAAGATGTCCTAGCCTTGGGTTAGTTTAGGCTGCTGTACAATATTGTTTTCAACTGAAGATTACAGTACTTTAGTACTGTGTCTGATCTCCTTGTATCCACCCCCCTCCCCAGGAGCTGAGATTACTGGACACTCCCCGGACCCCTAAGACCCTGCTGCGCTCCCTCGGCAGTAGCAGTGTGAGGAGAGCTCGCCGGATCACCCCCACCGGTCCCGGGAAACTGTTCGGCCTGAGCACCAGCGAACCACGACACAGGGTGGCGGAACGACCAGCCGCCAACGTGAACCCTTTCACACCCGACAACAACGTGGTGACCAGAGCTACGGGTAAACGTAGACGACAAGACAGGTACGTAATTTTCAAATATTCAAAATTCCTTCTTTTCTTCTTGCAAAACTTCCCATACCATAGTCAGCTGTAGTACATTACTGTGTGCAAACACTTTGGTTTTATCTTGAAAGTTCATCTGTGTTACCATAGTAGATTAAGAAGTCACTATGAAGCACCTGTTAACTGTATTGTCCATCATAAGAAATTGGAGTTACCCAAATTTTCGACGGTACAACTCTAGTCTTTGAATGAGTCATGATGTACAGTGTCTTTTTGGTTTGGTCACATAGAAGATCTATATAATCACGTGATAATCATCTTTTCCTTTTCTTTCCAGTGGGATGTTATCTGATGTTGACGAGGAATCAGATGAAGAAAATCCAACCAAAGTAAGGAAGCCAACTTTGTCATTTTATAATCTTATGTTGATCTTTTCTGATAGACTAAAACAACGACTGAACAAGAAATCTGGCATGCATGATTTCAAACTTTGATGTTGTGTTATCTTCAGTACTACATACATTTGAAATTCTCTAATTGTCTAAATTTGAAAACAGGAAAGCCATAAAAACATTATTAGTGATTATCAAAGTTTTAATTTATATAATCTTTATTTATCATTACATTATCAAAGTCCAGGAAGAAACTGCCAGAACAAGCCCAACATCAGATATTGTTTGCAACATTTTCTATCTACCATCACTTTTATCATACTTACATGCTCATTTTGTTTTGCGACAGAAAATTGCCCTCCATGACGCAAACGTATCCAGATACAACATAGAGTTCCATGAAGTAGAGCGAATTGGTTCAGGGGAGTTCGGCTCTGTGTACAAGTGTATCAACCGACTGGACGGATGTCTGTACGCCATCAAAAAGTCCAAAAAGCCAGTAGCTGGCTCCACAGACGAGTAAGTGGTTTCAGTTTGTGAAAGTTAGACATCCAGGTAATGAGATAATAGTACTCAAGGAAATTGTTACTCAAGCAACTGGATAGATTTTGAAAACATCACTGATAGAAAGTAGTTGACTGCTACTTGAAATGTCTGACAGTTTGCAAAACTAATTCAGTTGCTTGAGTAGCAATTTTATTGTGGTTTCAGTGTCTTCTGTGGTAGTTTGTGTGTAGTTGTAGTGGTTAGCGACCCTGCCTCTGGACCAAGAGTTTGGGTGTTTGAATCCCAACTGTTGTTGCTCACCTCACATGCATGCTGCTGGAAAGGGTTGCTGTCCTTAGTTCACTGTTTATTGTACTTGGGGTTTTGCAGAATGGCCCAGTACAATGGACCAGTGAAAACACTGTATGTACTGTCTGTCCAAACTTAATGCATTGAAGGATCAATTGTTCCTTTCTGTCCACACTTTTTTCATCATGTGCTATATAATAGTCTTGCATAAATGAATACTATACTAATGGCTTCTTTTTTTTTCAGACAAAATGCAATAAAGGAAGTCTATGCCCATGCTGTGTTAGGGAAACATCCACACGTGGTAAGGTACTACTCTGCTTGGGCAGAGGATGACCATATGATCATACAGAACGAGTACTGCAATGGTAAGTCAACATACGCTAAGGAACACATCCTTTTAGACATTATGTTAAATCTCCTCTGACAGAAACTGTTCAGCGTTGTTCATGCAATCCTTGGCTTCCTGAATTCCCCCATGTCGACCTCTAATTCCTGCTGGCTCCCGGATTCCACCTGGATTCAGGATCTTCAAATTCACCCCTTTTCCTTAATATCTGACTTCTCTGAGCTTTGGACCTGTCATTCTGCCTGTCAATCTTCCCTAACCCACGTGCTGTCAACCTACTGTTTCTGGACAAATGTACACCAAACCCACAGCTCAGCCCACTTTTTCTGCACTCTGAAAAACTATATGAAGATAGGAGACTCAAACAATGATATCCTACATCTGTCAAATTAGATGATAGTAACATTGTAGTGTACATTTGTTGTTACTTTTGCTATAAGCAATTGACTGATTTGTTAATGCTGGAATGAATGTTTGTCATTTTACTATTCAGCCACACAGTACAATTACCAATATTATTTCTCAGCACTGACTTTGCATGTGTCTACCTCCTTCAGGTGGGAGTTTAGCAGACGACCAGACAGACAGTCAGAGGCGCGGCAGAACGTTTAGTGAGTGTGAACTGAAGGAGGTACTGGTACAAGTGGCACAGGGGCTCAAGTACATCCACAGTCAGAACCTGGTGCATATGGACATCAAACCTAGTGAGTATAGATGTGTTCTAGCCAGCCCAAAGCCCTCTGAAACACTATTTCCTGCATTTTGAGGAGCACATTGTACAGATACACTATTATTAGTTTAAGGCATCTGTTGCTATATCTTTTCATAGCGACTTTGTCAATCAGAAATGACAGATTGGGCAATATTTTTATCTGTCACGAAGAGCAGAATTCTGTTATATGATGGAAAGACAAAACACTGATCTGAATATTTAACATAGCTTTCATACAGTTGTGGCTGTGTTCTAACATGCGTCAATCCAAGAATTATGAAGTTGTCATAGTGATTTTTTTTACCTGCACTCATCAGTTTTGTCTTGTCCTGCTCTAGGTAACATCTTTGTGTGTAGAACAACATCCATCGTCGACACTTGTCAGGACGAAACCTGTCACATCAACCAGAAGTTAGACCGGGGCATGCACACGACCTTCAAAATAGGTAAGCTGATTAACTGTCAGCCAATCATAAAGCGGTATTGCTACAAACCATCCAATCACAACACAGTATTGCTACAAGCCAACCAATCATAACACAGTTTTGTACAGTCTTTCTTGAATATGCAACAACACCATTTCTATACGGAAAAGCTATATGATATGTGAATGCATGATATACTGAATATTTATTTGTTTTTCTTTGTTTTCTTCAGGTGACCTTGGACATGTGACCTCTACGTCCCACCCCAAGGTCGAGGAGGGAGACTGTAGGTACCTGGCCAATGAGGTTCTCCAAGAGGTGAGTGAAGACAAATCCATCTCTAAAAAGAACAACACACGAGAGTGTTGAATGTTGTGGTAGATTCTTTCCAGCCAGGTTATACTTCCTGTAAGTCTAAAATTTCTTTCCTGCAAAATTTGTAGTTACATTTCCTATATTACAGAAAGAAAACTGTTCATTTGTTGAATATACAGTCATAAAAAGTGGATATTTTCTCATTAGAGCCAGTGGTTAAGCCTTAGTCAGGTACAAGACCTTTTGTGTATTCATGTTACATATAAATATATAATAAACACTTGGAAATTCCCCCCTTCTAGGACTATACCAACCTCACCAAGGCAGATGTGTTCTCGCTGGCCCTGACCATTCACACAATAGGGAGTGCAGTACCCTTGCCCAAGAACGGTGATGACTGGCACAGAATACGACAGGGATATCTGCCACCCCTCCCACAGTGTTCAGATGAGTTCAACCAGCTGCTCAGGGTATGTGTTGTGATGGCCTTCAGACTGTGCCATTTTCACTATGGGGGTTTAAATGTGTAAATTATACATTTTCCTTTTCTGTAGTCTCAAACTAGTCAAGAAGACTGGCTTTACAACTTTGGACTTTCTAATACTTCAGAAAAAAAGGAAAAAGTTGTAACCGTCTTCCTCTTTTTCTACCCCAGTCCATGGTGCACCCAGACCCCAATTCCAGACCGTCAGCGGTATCTATCACCCAGCATGCCCTGCTGTGTCCGACAGCAGGCAAGACAAAGGCACAACTACACCGCGAGCTGAACGAAGAAAAGCTAAAGAATGAACAGCTGGCCAGGTGAGTTTGCTTGCACAACTTTTCTCGCTGTCTCTTCTTTGATTACAATTCTTGCTCTTAAAGCACAAAACTGTTATATAATAGTAGTTTCTTCTGTTCCTGAAGATTTGAACTACAAATTTGAACTAAAAACTGATGTCAATTCTTGAAGAAAGTAAATCTTGAAAGTTTTGCAGTTTTATTTTCGTGGTGACTGCTCCATCACTAACTCATGACACCACGTATATGCGCTTCCAATGTACTATACTACAGAATTGTTTCAATCATGAATTTAGAATACCACAAAAATACTGATTTTAAGTAAAAAACCTGCAAAGGAGCTTGCAAATTAGGTCAAGAGACTGGGAAATGCTTCTTGTTTATTTGTATAGCAATAAACCATTCATAAAACCCAATCTAACATAAATTTAATGTTTGCACCACTAATGCATGTCAATCATTTTCGTCACCCAGGCAACTAGAAGAGGTGAAGCACGAACACGAGGACGCACACACGCTCGGCAACACCAGGTTCAGACCAATCAGGAAGAAGACTCTCGTTGGGAAGAAGTTCTCACGTAGTCTCAGTGTTACCATATACTAGCTTAAGGAGATTTAGAAACGTTAGAACAGTAGTTTTATATGAAGCTTGGGAACTGCCACGTTTGAGTATTATATCATTAAAAATGTACAGCTGGTTTACTAACCATTGTAGCAAAGGCACATTTTTTTACATCTTGTGAAAGAAAAGTAACACCGGCCTACCATGCTCTAGGAATTTTCAATATTTCCAACTGTCTCTTTTGTCAACTGCCACCATCACTGCCTTTTAAGTCAATTAATTCTCAGCCAATCAAAAAGGCCGTACTGCTACAAACCAACCAATCACAATGCGGTATTGATACATTCTTTTTAGAGCACGTGACTTTCAACATGACACTTTTTTAGGGGCATTTCAATGCCATTCTCTATTTGGGATATAGGTTCAATACTAATGTACATAGCAGTAGTAGATAGTTTAATGTGCTATATAGCAAAAATGGACATTGTTAGGAAAGAACAATGTCCATGAAAAGAGATTATGGCTAAGGCATTGCTATATATTTTCATACTATTGCTAAGGATACTACATGCTTAGTTTTAGAGACATGTTATGTCCATATTCATGTTTTACCGTTGGTTCTATTTTGTTTCTAGTAACGTTTCAGTTTTTTTATACAGGTTAACTTGTTTTAATAGATAGTAAGCCATTTTAACATGCATAATCACATAAAAAGTTGTTCATATGTAACTCCATACTGTTAAAAACTGTAACCAGTTACAATCACTTAATCATATGCATAACTGTAACCAGTTTTTGGGGTAAGATACTTTAAGATTAGAAAATTGTTTTAAATTTTGTGTATCCAATGATCTCTTCCATCACAATATGATATTAGCTGTCACCTTGCTCTTGTGATAGAGTTTGTGGAAATGGAAAAAAGAAACAAACAAGGTTGTTTTGGTTTTTTTTCTAACTGACTTTTAGCCATAGTTTTATTCGATTATTCGATAATCAATGATTAAATTTTAAACAACACATGGTGGCTGGTCGTTCTCTTTTTATAGTACAGTACTGGTGATAGGCTCTTTTGGGCCGCGCCACCGACCCTGTCTCGGTAGGGTGATACAAATATATAGGCCATAAATTGAAAAATAAAACATTGGAAAAAGATACTAGTGTCATAGAATGCCAAAGGAAAAGAAGAAAATGCGAGGAAACGAAAATGAATAGTCTATTATTCACCATACCATAATCTATGTGTTTGTCATTTGTTCAAACTTCATAGATTTCATAATGAAGGCAACTTTTTTTTTTTTTTGCCAAACCTTTTTATTTGCACACCTGCATCAGTTTTGGGGCTACCAGAGGATGTCATCCATATAATCAAATCAACATGGCCTAATATAGAATGGCATAATGGAATATTGTTTTTTTCCGTGCAAAACCTATGATTTAGAGCCTGAAACACGTTATACAGGCGAATTTTAACAAAGTCGCTAATCAAAACCAGGATAGTGAGTGTGAGTGAGTTATGTTTATTCCTGCTATTGAAATAAATCACTAAATCATATGCATAACTGTACACCCGATGTAAATTTGAAAAGTATAACTATATGTTGGATTTTTAATGCATCACATTGTTTGGATGTGGCCTTTTCATTTAATATTATCTTTGCAACCAGAACCCTTACCTGTTTTTGTATACACCTGTCATGAGAAGTGACCCGGGAACGTGTCAGGTGTATGCCACACATTTGACCAATCAGGGTAAAGAATTTCCGTGACGTCACGGTGGTCCTGGGTACGAGCAGAAAAGACCTTTGACCCAAAAAGCAGAGCACTCCAAAGAAACCGTGGGGATCGATTTGCAGCGGCGAAGGAGGCTGAAAATCAGCGCAAACGTCTGAGAAAGTTCGTCTGAAGGTAAGTAGCATAGTCTTAAAGGTTTTGACTCGCTAGAAGAATCGTCAAGACGTAAAATACTCGATGTGCAAGCCGAAAATGTGGTGCAGTTTCCCGCGCAATCTTTTACATATGTACATGCATGGTTTTCCGATGCACCAGGAAGAAACGTCCAGCTTTTTTCTGTCCACTTTTGACCAAATTTCTACCTTTCAAAGACAGTCATAAGCAAAAATTACAACATGGGAGAAAGTTTGACATCTTAGCTGTAGATTTGAGTGGTAGATAGGGGTTTTGGAGGTTTTGTTTTTTCGGTATGTAGACTTGAAAAGTTGAAGGCATGGCAGCGCGGTGTATGTTACATGCCTGACAATGCGTTACCAAGGGCGTTGCTAGGAACGCGAAGTCGAGGACGATAAGAACTTTCGCGAGCAAAATGTGGCATATGTCGAGGAATTTTGATGATTTCTGACCCAAAACGATTTTAGTGACACCCTAAAGCTGTTATATTATGAAATCACTGTATAAAAATGTTTTTCGTGTGTTATATGGTTCAAAATCGGATATTTTCACACCTTTTTAAGTCGTTTACCACACAGTGCATTGAGCCCTCAGACCGAATTCAAACCCACCTTTTCCTCGCCATTGTGTGAGCAAGTTGACCCGAAGCTTCGGTAATATAAAACTTCCAGACCGCAGGATACGCTGGTAACTATGATAACACACCATAAAATACTTAACAATGTTTGAAGCTTAAAATCACTTTTCCGTGACGAAAAAGTTTACCCAATTGATTTTCACAGTATATGAAGAGCCTTTGAAATCAGACATAGAATACTTCACGCCAGCTTAACACACTTCACAGTACATAAATGATTTTTGGACCACGTTTGAAGGTGTGGTTCCCTCTTAAAAAGTTCATAACTCAGGAATTATAGCTTTAGGTCAATGAGAATGCAAATGAAAAAATGTAGGAATTTATGGTAAAAATGTTGAAAGAAATGGTCAACATTTGTTCAAAGTCTTCTTGCATTTTCTGTGCCGAAACCTAAGATCTGGAACTTTAGGAGTTGACTTTGTAATCTTTCTTAGGGTAAACAGAAGTTTAATAACACTCATGAAAACAGTAAACATCTTGTAAATAATTTCATGGCTAGTATTGGCTACAACGCCATAAATTTCTGCTCACTAGAATAGCCAACCTGGCTATGTAGAACTTTTTGGAATAGTACATGTACTTTTGTAAACAGATGAAAATTGAAGGTAAATTTTGTGTTCTGAGCATTTCTATGGGGTGAGTTGTCACAGTTATTAAAACAATGTTTGAAATTCTGCATCTCAAAAGAACATATTGCTGAGCCATGAAAATTCTCTGTTGCGCCTGCTAAGTAAATGGACGTTATACGTTACCAAGTTTGCTTCCTAAAACAATTTTTTTTCTCTGAAGTACAAAATGTATGATGTTATTCTGTTGCTATCAACCATCTCTGTGTGTTTGTTATATATTGTGAGTGAGCATAATAGGTTCAAAATGTTCAACATTGTCAGGTGGTTTGCTGGAAGTAAAATCCTTTGTCACATATTTACAATCTTGTAACAGATATAGCTAAGCTACGTGTTTGTTTCCATACTCTACCACTGAACTGTATGAACTTATAAACATTTGCGACGCTTGCAACAATGTTTTCACAACATAAAGCTCTTTTTGATAATGGGCACTGGAAAGTTAGAGTATAGAGTTTACGGTCAAGCTAAACAAGTTCTTTCCGTGTCAATGATTTCACATAATGTTATGCCACTGAACGATTTGTGGTTGTGCACAGGCTTATCCATAAGTGTACTGACCAATCGTGTATGTTGTAACAGAAGCAGTGCTAACATTTTAACTCAGCAATCTTCTACAAATTTGTAACAACTTCCCTGATTTGTCCACGACTTAGACTCAGACTAACCTTGCATGTTACCATGGTATAGCCATTTGGCTAAGAAACTGATAAAACAGTTGAAAGTTGTAAAATTTAGGGTGTTAAATAGAAATATAGGTGGGTAGGTTTGTACACTCTCAATTTGTTTTTTAGAATACATTGGAAAGTTTTGAAATATGTACTGGGGCTGGAAATACTTAATGCATATTTGCACTTTTGTGCACCCAAAACTGTACAATGTCATGTAATTTTTTATCGAGGCTGCACTGGTACACCTAGATATTTGTATATCATACAGCATATATTCCTAAAATTCAAGTGTCTGAAAAATTACCTGTTTAAATTTCAAAGGTTGTAGAATTTCAGGTCCAAGCTCTAAAGAGCAACAGTAAGGTTTGTTATTAGGTTTTGCTGACATTATACTTTAATATTTTATATGCCACGCACCCGAAGCACCAACATTTGTATGTCCTTTACTGTACCATCTCAAGAAGCCTTTTCTTTATACCACTTCATATACATGTATATATACTGTCCATTGTGCCCAATCTATTAAACCAACAAAGAAGACGGAAATACATATCCGCTCAAATACTGTTAACATACAAAATTGTATGGATTCTACACCCTCTAAATTGTCTGAATTCAACAGATTCATTTCTCTTAACCCCTTTCTAGTTAACACTCACATCATATCGATATGATTATGATAAAAAAAAGGCCTAAAACTGTGGAAAACCCCAAGAGAGCTTGAAGTTTACCCGGGTTTATTGGAGCGTACCCGTGGTAGCCAGGTAACAGTCGTGTAGGCGGAGTCTATGACCAGGGCAAATACAGCGCCATTGTGGACTGTTTGACTACGTGTGTAACCTAAAAGTATTACTGGATTAACTCAGGCTTATTTACGGCATTAGCAGTAGCTGATTTATGTTTCCCTATAGAATATTACGACAATAGATTTGAAATGGTAACAATATGTCACTCAGGCGTGACAGTTGTGAAATACCAAGGGGGAGACTTGGGAGTCAACATGACATTTTTCTAGCTTTTGTTTCTTTAAAAAACATGCTTCCTTAGGAACAGGAAATAGAAAAATGATATTACCTTTCAACATCTGCTTGGAGATTAATATTTTACAACTGTCATGACTGTGAGACAAATTTTTACAATTCAATATTCCCTATTGTTAAATACAATTGCATATAAAATTGTTGCATATGGTGTGTCTTACTAGTTTTTCTAAAACTTAAAGTCAATAATTTCATATGCACAAGCACATACCAACTTTAAAATTAAAATTATGAGTTTTAAAATCTATCATGATATAATTTATATATTAATTTGGCTTATTACTTAAGAACTCATAGAACATAAGTACAATCATGACAGGTTTCAGACTTGCAAGTTGGTTGAGAGAAACAACTTATTCTAGAACACAGCAACCATGGTGCCTTCCCTGTATTGGCATTATGAAAACTACTTCTGACCTCAATGCTCACATTGAACTTGGTGAAAAGCCAAGTGCTCTGCTGAAAAACAACCCAGAAAATATCAAGTACCTCCTAGTTATACACCGTGGCGCACCGAGCACTCAGTTATAGAAACAACCCCACCCAAACCTACACAGGAGAGACATGAAGTGGGTTTGAAACTTTGCTTTGTAATCTAGCTTAAACAAGTGCACAGTCTACTATGCAGTTTAGGAGTGAATTAACTGGTGTTTGAATAGGTGGTAGAACATAAGTTTTGTGGTAGGTTTTTAACTGTTTTAAAAGTTCACGAAAAATTTACCAGAAATTGCTTTGACACTCAAGTTAATCTAAGGGCCAGTGATCACAGTGATCTGATTCTTACCTTAATAAAAGTGTACATTCTAAGAAGTAAAATTGTCCTTAAAAAAATAAAACTATAAGACGTCAACTTCTGCCTAATAGTTTGAGGAGAGCCACACCTCGAGTTTGTTTTTGTTAAAGATCCCAATACACTTATCAAGGAGAGTATGGGTCCTTCCTGGTGTAAGTGGTTCAAACCTTACAGTCTGGTCTTATACACTTTAAACACGCAAAACTAGTGTTTTACCCCTTAATTTTGCATTTCTTTAATCTATGAGAAGTCTGAAGACTTTCAATCTGGTCGAAAGTCCTTAGCAACTGTTATAACAACCCCCTAACAACAAGCTGCCCATGTTATGTCCAGGCCGATGGTGTAGTATTAGTTGGCGCTCTCTTTGCTATGAAAATAAACCTCCCACCCACTCCAGTACCCCCTAGAAGAAAAACAAAATCAAACAAAGGGTGGCAAGCATTTGTGCCAATCAAAACAAACCAGTAAATGAGACAGTAAGACTGCCGTAAATTCATTTACTTTCGTAGTCATTTTACAGTATTTTGCAAAAATATGAGGGAAAAGGAGGTTTACATAGTATTTTAGAGGGGTAAAACAATTCAATTCTGTAGTACATTGGAAATGCATATTTGCGATGTCATAAAATTAGCAGTGGTGAGGTTATGTTCAAAATAAAACAGCCGCAAAAACTGTTAAAAATTTTACAGTACATAGAATCCTAGATGGATTTCTTCCTACTAGTATATTATTTTAATTTTTGTGAGTTTAAAAAATTTAGTGTAGGATACTTTTCTTTCTAGCTTGTCAAATTTGGATCTTTGCTTCTTTTAATGCTCTTTTGACAATATTATCTTTTAGTTATTGGGCAATGAAACAGAGTGAATTGCATAATTACGTCAATGCAAAGGGCTCCTGATATAGAGTGGACGTAATAAAAGCAATAAAACCTGGTCATTGATTGTATAGAAATCTGAACTGCAGCAAAAACAATTACTGCAATAAAGTAATAAATCTGGTGTACATTTATTGAGGGCCATATACAGTTCAGGTTTATTAGCACACAGAGTAGTTTACAATTTTACAGTATTGTAAAGTAGCAGCAAGAAAAAAGGCCATGGTACTGTAACTCTTGAAATATTCGCAGACATTTTTGCGATAACCTCTGCTGCAAAATTATGACACAATGCACAAATTTATGCACAAATGCACATTTCCATTTCATTACTACATCATTGTATTATTTTTTCAATCGCGATCAACTTTAAACCAGTTATAGCAAAAAAAACTCCTTTTCCCTTCCAAAAACAGATTGATTTACAGTATAACGCGGTTAAAAAACGGACCAGTACATGCACCTGTACATTTTCCTACTTACTTTGGATAACGTAATACTCTCATGTTATTTCACTAATCACTATAATTATTGAGGACTTTTTCAAGAAATGTCTTTAACATCTGGATATCTGAAGTCTGCTGTTGCATTTTCAGATTAATTTTTTTAGACAGTATGATATGTAATGCCCCCCTCCCTCCATTTCTTTGTTTGAAGTACTAAAATCAGTGTCCCACTCCGACAGTCACAGTTGAGTCAACACCGAGACATTCCAAAGTCCTGACATCATCACCCACCACTATCAGCTTTAGTCAACACTATTGGCTTAAATACCTCAAACAATACGTTATCCATTTAGTCCTAGTAGGGGGTGATTGAGACAATAATGAAATTATCACAATTGTCTGGAAAATAACAGGTTAGAATGACATTATTTTTATCATACAAAATAAGGCAGTGTTAAGCATTGAGCAACATGTTTAACATTTTCAGTTTAAATTCCTGCATATATTTGCAAGCAATTCAATTTACTCAAGAAAACTCACTTTAAGAGATTCTAGAAGAAGAAGACACTGTGGGTCCAATGACAAGAATTTTTAGCATTTGAGAAATTCTTATACTTTCCTTGCTAAAAATCTCAAGCAAAATCCGGCAACAAGATGTTGAAAATCGATTTAATTAAAGATATCGGCATTCCTGTTGCTTCTTGGCACAGTAGTTTATTTACTCATAACACTGTACTCCATAGCACCCAGTGGTTTCATACAGACATACAGAAGTATTTGACCTGCCCCACCGATAACATGGTGCCATTTTACACCTGACTGGTCACCTAAGCCCAAACAAGGCCAGACACAAAGACTCTTTGTCTGTATAGATTAGTAAGGGCTAATTCTTTGAACAAAGAAAAACTAGTGCAAAATTTTGCTTCTATGTTATTAACCGATACTAAAATCCACGAAAAATGACCTGGTATTAGTCAGAATGATATTCAAGGACTATTGCAAAAAAACGTTTTAATTTTTGCTTGGATAAACTGTTTTGAGAGCATTTTCTCTACCACAATGCCACCTTTATAGTGATTTTCAGGATGACAAAAGAAAGATAAAGAGTTTAGAAAGGTTTTTAGATTTCAGAGATAGCTAAAAGGCTTAGCACACAATCCCCTGGTGAAAAGGATGGTTGTTAGTGGTTAGTATCTCCTAACAGAACACCTGTTGTTTCACCTGTGCTGCTCTGTTTCCACCTGTTTTATTTGGTTTCCTTGGTTGCCAGGGAGACACGGGTGATCTGTGTCTGTGTCAAGGTTGCAGAGACACCTACTGGGCATGTTTGGTACTGCAGGCATCCGAGATGACACTTTATCACTCCTTTTCATAAAAGAAAGATTTTTCACAGCCAATCTTTGGGGGAAAAACTACTTTAAACCCAGACTACACAAAACAAGAATACTCAGAACAGTTGTGCCATACGATATTTCTTTGAAAGTACCGATAATAACGATATTGTCCCCTGATACTCATTATATTAAATTATAGAGATGTATGAATAAATTCATGACTAAATGATAACAGATTTTTTATTATATTACTATACTGATATAATTCATGTAATGTTACATATACTATAGAATTGTGCAGACAAAATATTAGCTGTATTTCATTGAGATACTTTTTCCAAAAATAATGGACATGTAGCTTTACTGAACATAACTGCCAAATTTGGTAAGATAAAACTTGGCAAAAGTTTTAATTTTTACAGTATTCCATAACAACAGTAGTCAGCATGTATGATATATGGCAGGGACTCGTAAAACGTGACCACACTTCCGGTGAAAGTGGGGCAACTGTTACCATAACAAAACAGTCTATTGTTGTCTGTTCCTCTTCCGATATCCTTCATGACACCTTCACAAATCACCCGCTAGTCTGCCATTTCATGTCGTTAATTTTTTATAAGCTAGCCCTGCGGAACGACACCACACCCAGTCAGGGAGGGTTGTTTCCATAGTGACTCTATTTGATTTTGAGGTCAGTGGAGCAAAGATGGGCTGTTCTATTCCACTTACAGGGGTGTGACTTTGCAGACTTTAGTTTGACTGTCATAGTGTTGCACTTCATGATAGCAATTGAATTTTTCAAAACTGTATCCTCTTATTTTTATCATTTTTGCAATGTAGTAAGATGGTTGATAGAATTCAGCACTAAGGACAGGGCCAGTTTTGCAGCTATTTTTTCACCTGTGTATAAAGGTTTTGTTTTTGGCGTGTCTGTGTGTTTGGTTGTGTTTTCATAGATATTTTCACATGCTAGACATGTCAGAGACACTAACAGGAAGTTAGCTCAAAGGTCCCAGAAAAGGTTATCAAATTTCCTGTCTTCGATTTCCAGCTATACACACACACACACACACACACACACACACACACACACACACACACACACACACACACACACACATATGTTATAGCTGTTACCTTATGAGAGCCATTGGGAAAGAATGTTTTGAAAAATCAGTGAGAAATTCACAATGAATAAAGCAAAGTCACAAAAACTTGAGATATGTGATCAAATTCTTGTTCCATAACTATACCAGCTCTGCTTGCAAAACTTTGCATAACATTGTTTTCTGCTTTCAAATATAATATCTGATTCTCCATAAGCTACATAATGGCAGAAGTCTTGCTCTTCTATTGCATATGAATGGCTTGTTTGCCTGAACAATTATTATGGCAATATTGTGAACAAAGGTGAAAACTATGTCAGTTAACTCCCATTGGAACACCATAAGAATCACGTCAGAATACATGACCTATATTAACTTTAAGTTCCGGAGGGACCTAAGTTAAAACCTACCATCCATCATTTGTATGACTTGAAATGTTTAATAGAAGAATTCTTGTGTTGTCACAGAATTGCTCAGATCTGAGCTAGCTGACATCGCAGGAGAACCATGGGATCCAACTGGCAGCCCACGCGACCACGCGGCCCGATCGCGGCCATGTACCACAGCCCCGGGCCCAAGTACATGGTGCCGGGCAGTACAGGTCTGTATGGGAAGGGGTAGGATAGGTTTAGGATGGAGGGAGGGAGGGGGGCAATCACAAAATAATACATGTTTATGATACTAAGAGTTTAAGGAACACATTTGTAGATAAAGTGATACTAGGAGTTGACAGGGCAATGCATTTAATTGGTAAGCACAGAATGTTGTAAAATCGTACATATAAGGCAGTATGTATACTCTATACTGGAGCATACAGGGAAATTTGTGATACTAGAAGAAGTTTCATTCAATTGTAATTGTTTAGATTTTGTGATGACATGATTTCTATGTCAAATGTGAGTTTTGCTTGGTTTGGTAAAATTACAACAACAAGATATCACTTTGAACTATGAGTATAGGGCTGTAAAAGGCAAAATTTAGCAAATAGTATTTAGTACAAGACAAGGCACAGATTCACAGCTATGAAGTAACCAAACACAGGACTACTTTCAGTCCTTTGTGTTCACCAAAGTGTAGTGATGTCAGGTTCTACAAAAGAACCCTGTCATCTCCGCACCCTTCCCTCCCCCCTGCGTGTTGCCCTACCAGGACACACCCAGACTTTCGCTACAGGTGCGAAGAAACACGACCCGACCCGTAAGCTGGCTCCGGCCTACAGCTTCGGCATCCGACACAACAAGTATAGCAACGACTGTAGCCCGGGTCCAGGCTACCTGGTGCCGTCCAACATCCTCCGTCAGGGGAAGGATGGGACCCCACATTACTCCCTGTACAGCCGGCCGAAGGACATCACCATGTTCAGCACACCTGGCCCAGGTGATTGTCACATGACTGTGACATGATTGTCACATGACTCTCACATGATTACCAAATGATCGTCACATGACTCACATGCTTACCAATGATTGGTTATTTTTTTATTGTTCACTTGCACATAAATCAAAACAAACAAGACAATTTACTTTAACTTCATTGATACTTCTAAATTATCAAAAGTACATTGTGCAGTAAATAAATAGCACATACAGCTATTTCTAGGGAATGAAAATGTTTGTTAAGAGATGAGAATGGAAAAAAATGTTTGTACCTTACTCTAATGGCACTGACCCTGGTGCTGAAATCTGCATGATTGTTACACTGTTGCCTTCCATGTAATATTCATGTTTACCGAAGGAAAACATATTGTTTTTACTCAATTTCCTCTTCCTCTTCTCCAAACACTAACCTCTGACCTGGCCAATGACATGATTTGTTGACGTCTGTCACCATGGTGACTGGTGTTGGGTTACATAATGTTGAAAACTTCATGGTCTGCTCTGCTCCTGTCACAATATACTAGTAGTACATGTATGTGAATATGTTTGAGTAAAAATTAACAGGGCAGACCATGTCCGAAGGTAAACATTATGCATGTTACTTCTCTAGTCTCACCATATGTTTGCTATACCATCCCCGTTAGGTGCGTACGCTCCCGAGAAATCCGGCCGCTCCGCGTCTCGTACAGCCCCAGCGTACTCTCTCTCGTCCCGAACGCGAGGCTTCAAGTTCGACAACACGCCGGCGCCCAATGCCTACTCCCTGCCGGCCGTGGTTGGACCGAAGGCTGTCGGGAAGACCTCGGCACCGAACTACTCGCTGACGAGCCGGCAGAAAATTGGCAGTTTCCACGAGGACTTACAGAAGGTGATCTTTTGTGAAAGCTACAGAATTTACTGACATTTGAAGGGTAACAACAAACACTTTATGGGGAAAAACAATTCTACATTCAAGGATTATGGCTTTTAAGGCTTCTGTCCCCAAAAGCCTTGTATTGTTGTAGAATAAAGCTTATAGAAGTCGTCTTTCCACCAACCCAGTCTATCAATTTTTTAGAATCACTCTAAAAAAATCTCTCAATCTTTTAGATGCCTTTTCAAACTCATTGTTATGGAGAGCTGACATTGGACATTGGTTAGCTTCATTGTCATCCTGTTTATGCATGATTGTCACATGATCATCACATGGCCAGCACATGTACATCACATGATGATCGCAATACTGTTCCTAACCACTCTACAGACCCCAGGACCAGGCACGTACAGAGTAACGGACCCCAACATCAACCGTGGCCGAGCTCCGCTCTACTCGATGACCGGAAGAAACCAGATGCCGGGCGACACCACCAAGAAACCGGGCCCTGGCGCACACAGCCCAGAAAAGGTGTGGTTGTTGTGTGCTTATCATTCAAATAACTACATAAAATACCATAAAACACTCACTAACAAAAGCAATATGAGGTTAGGAGTCAGCTATGACAATCTATCGACATGTATGAAAAAACTAGCCATGACAGAGTTATGAAGACGTTCTAAAAGTCAATTTTGCAAGTACATGTAGTTATAAGGAAATTAATCTGTTATGATATACAGAAAGTATAATATAATCGGCCTGCAAGCATGCCTTTGCTGGAATGAATGAAAAATGACATATGAACTTGAGTACATTTTGTAACATTAAGAAAGAGCAAGTGGGTTCAATATAACATAAGTGAACTTACAACTAAACTTTAAGCATGACTTAAAAATGCTCCTTTGAATGGATTGATAAAGAGCCAATGGGGTGATAACAAAATATTGTATGTTAACATCTTACATAATATAATTCTTTCCTCTTCATACATTGTTTGCAACAAAGATTTTATCCTGTTTTTTCTCTTTTTTTCTTTTGTTATTTTCTATCACAGGTGTATCAAAACGCCAAGAGAAAGCCGCCAGAATTCTCATTCGGAATTCGGCACTCCGAATACATAGCACCCCTCATCGTTGATCCCTCCTACTAACACATGGCGTTTGTGTAAGCACGGGTATAACATATTTATTTTTCTTTTATTGTTTGTTTATTTATTTATTTGTGTAGGCAACAACTCTGTGAGGAAGTCTACCACTGCAGTCAATTCTCAAATAATCAGACTTTTTTTCTACTCCTAGCTCCTTAAATCATCTACGGATGTCTCTATTGCCACACACACACAAACAAACAAACAAACAAACAAACACACACACCCATCCAGCCCTGTCTCTTCTAGGTTCAAATGATGTCCGCACAACATTGACTACTTTGTCTGCATCTCTGGTTTTCTCCGCTTTTGTATGAAGATTCCCTTCTTAATCTGACAAAGAAAAGCTTCAACTGTCATATTCGCATTCCATGATGATCTACTTTATTTCAAAAGCAAGATATATACAGTCAAACATGTCCAAGTGACCACCTCTACATATTAAGGACCACCTGGCTAAAGCGACCACTTTGTGGCAGTCCCTTATATAATTTCCCATTGTTACAAGCATTAGGAATCCTGTCTATAGTGACCACCTGTCCACATAGACACAAGTTTATAGGTCCTCTGAGTGGTCTTCTTGGGCAGTTTTGACTGTACTCAGCAAATTTTGTCTGTCCCTCAAATGGTTATTAAAATGATCACTGATTTTCCCCCTCTACATGTATGTGAAGCATGTGTATGTTGACCTTGACATCTTTACTATTGACCTTCACTATCATTCTTACTCCATGTCGATGTCTTGTCCTTCTCTCTCAGGTTAACCTTCACAAAAAATCTCCCGGCTTCTATTTTGGAGTCCGCCATTCTCAATATAAATGTCCCATCATGGTTTAGATGTACGGTATTTTTCAGGATTCTTTCTTCACAGCAATCACTGCTTGCTTTGCCACCTGCTAGCGTACATGTAGCTTGCTGCCAGGGTGGTAGTATTGAGCAAATGTCTTGTATAAGAATTATATATACTTCACAGAATGTTTCCAACTTTGACAGAACTCGGTACTGTAAAATTTTACTTTTGCAGATATTTTGCAGTATGATGAGGTTGTTAGTATTGAAAGTTCAGTCGTAAAAACAATTCTGTAATACATTTAAACACATATTCACAGTCTTAAGATTTTGACTACTGCAAAAGTACATTTACACCAGGGTACATCATTTCTAAATCATGTTATCTCGATTGTTCTTGCAATCACTTGAAACATGAAACTGCTCAGAATCATCTGGCTTTGTAAAAGAGTTTACTTTTTAGTCACAAGTTCAGGAAAGAGCGTGTTGAACTCTGCAAAGCATTCAGTGAAGTGTATGTATTCTAACCTGGGCCTAGAATGCCAGCCTGAGTACCATCTGATTTTAGTGGGGTCATTGCACTCGCTGACCCAAAAGTCAAATTTATCAAGTCAGTGACTGCAAGAAGCCTCGTTATAAATGGAATGGCACCTAGGCTAATAGAATGCTAGTACATGTATACAGATTCAAGTTGCATGGCATCATCCTAAGTGGAACGAAAGGCTGAAAGAAGTTGTGAAACATAATGCAGTAGAGTTTAGCGATCTTTACAGATAAGTTGCAGAAATTGCATCCGTAACTTGACAATCTTTTGTCATATGATTCCATCTTCAGTTTCATGTTGACCCTTTACTAGGATGTCAGCAGAATGTACTGCACCTGTGTGAAATGCAGTTTTTTCATAGTTATCATTGGATTTTGTTTGGTCAACGTTGCATCAGAATTATGCCAGATGCCGACAATATCTTCTCTGACACAACATTTGAAAACTATAGAGGGCATGTCATCCTTAAATGCACAAATATGACCCTAAACTAGACATTCTGCCAAAGTGCTATGCAAAATACATTAAGGGGTTTTACACAGGTGCAGTATGTTATGCCAAATGCTTCCTTGAACAAAAGCAGTTCTGTATCATGTGACCATTTTATCCTGTCTGCTTTCAGCAACTGCTAAAATTGGTTCTGTCAATACTGTCCTGTATGTTTATAACTTGGTTTGTTTCCACTTTCAGACAGATTTTTCTGTATGTCTGCACAGCAAATGCTACCGTAGCACACTGCTTTGCATTTATATATAAGCCACAAACTAAGTAGGAAAGTCTCTGTCAATGTAGCATAACTGATTATGTTGTTTAAAACTAGGTAATCAACTCCTAGCATAATAAGTCCTGCATGCAAAAACTTTAATCCAAAAGTTGGCACAGTTATATGATGATGTCTAGTGCATGAGTAATTTAGAAAATAAATGATTTTAATACATATCTTAATATAAACTTCCATTCTAATAACAATAAGTGTATAGTATATAGTGTTTTTTAAACTAAAATATCAGTAGTATTGCAAATTAATGTTAATTTGTATAGATATATTAGTCTTAAATATTACAACAACACTAAAGCCTTAACAGCAGACTTACACTTACGTGGCAGTTTAAGATTCAAAAACTGGACTTGATCTTTTTTTCTACAACTTGAGCTACTTTTTTATTGTTGTTTGTTCATTCTCCCCGACGTCACAGGTGACCATGCACAAGTTGCAGTACCCACAACACTCTTTTGGAATCCGTCACTCTGAGTACATTGCACCACTCATCATTGACCCAGTGGAGTAGCCAATCACAACGAGCCAGCAGTACAAACCAACCAATGAGATCTATCCTTTCACATCTATCACCTGGGAGCCCAGCCAATGGGATCCATTCATACATACTTACAAGCAGCCAATCACTTTTTAGCTTAGTGACCAGCTTTGCTGGTGTGACCTTTCTTCAGTGTTATATTTTACCTCAGTTCAGTTGTTAATACTGTCAACAGCAAAAAAAGATTATATATTCGTCAGGATTCTTTTTTAGTATGGGTGCAGCCATGTTCCCATTTTTTCTTTATTTTGTCTTTGTCTATTTCATTTGTCTAGAGGAATATGAAATTATCATGATTTGACAATGTGTGAAAAAGATTATTCACAGTTACAATACGATACTGCACAATTAGCAACATCATACCTTAGGATGACCTCATGTAATTTCTATATTTTTGCCAACGAGATTCGGTTTTTCCTTATTTGCTGCTTTTAATTTTTCGTTATTCAAGAAGATTGGCTATCTCAGAATATTTGTTTTATTTTGTTGATTGTATTAAAAGAGAAAGCTTCATACAGATGTACATATTTTGTAAGGAAAGTTTTCCCAGTTGTTGATTTGGTAAGCGTAAACAATCTCAGTGAAGATAACAGAAATAAATGTGATAGAAATGGCTTGTCCAGATACCTGAGAAATGGCTATTAGTGACAAATGTACTGTAGTTGTCAATGGAGTTCAATTTCTTGTCATCAAACTTTTGGGACTTTGTAAAGGTGAAAATAAGGGATTCTATAGTCACAGTGAAATATCATCATCCAAACTTCTTATTCCTTGTTTATTTTCAGCTTTTTGTTATGATAAACTGTGTGACATTGCAGTAAGACGCATTTCAGTTAAAATTTCTCTGTATGTAATTACAGTAACAGATATGCAGCTAGTACAATTCTGGTGTTATAAAAAATAGAGCTGTCAAAAATGGTTTTAAAAAAAGATTGTATATTTTTTACTATCAAAGCGTAAGGGCTAAACAACATATCAAGGCATCCAAGAAGTTCAGTGTGACAAAAAAAATGTTAATCTATTCAAAACTATTCAAAAAGAATGTTTGTGTGTTTGTCACGTGTGTGAAAAAATCAAACATGGCCGCCAACATCAGATAGAATACTATGCAGTGTGCCGCCATCTTTTATTTTGCTTGTTATGTCTTATAACAAAGGGGTCAAATTCTCAAGGGCAAATGTGGTCTCAGAACAAATAAAAAGGTCTACGAGAAATTTCGAAGCCAAGGAAAAATATTTTCCACAACAGTCTATGCAAATAACAGGTATTTACTACATAAAGTGCGCTGCTGCTGTGCAAATGTGCCATTTTTGTTGACCCAAAAAAACTTTTTGGTGGAAAAGGGGTGAAATTGTCCAGGAGAATTTGGTTCCCGATATTAACGGTTTGTATTTTCTCCACTCCTCTTGCCCTAATATGGTCTGGTGGTGATTTAGTGTATATTTGATAGGAATACCAATAAAACCTTCCTCAATATAAACCCTACAATATGCTGATCATTTTGTCGTCGTTATACGCATTGTGTGCATTTCAGGATACTTGCATAGAGTAAGCATTATCATGTACAAAGCAACATTATACATAGCCGTTGCTGGCGTATGATGTAAAATTCTCTTAAAGTTTATGGTACCTTTTTCGCGCGTTTTGAAGCTGAAGAGAACGTACAATAACTTCCGAAATATCTTGTGTAGCAAAAAGTGTACCCTATTAAAACTTTTAAGTATTAATAGGTACGCTTTTTAAAATCTACTTTGTTTGGCTTGACAAAAAGTGCACTTTTTAAAGCTTTTTTTAAAACCCACTTAGAAGTTACGAACCCACCCACGGTCACCTTTGTGCGACCTTGGGACTTAACCTGTGACTTCAAGGAGTCTTAAGCCCCACCTGTTTACCTTTGGTGACGTATAAATACCTTAAGCACCCGTGTGATCGTATGTGGACGACATGTAGACCACATACATGCTGATACATGTTGACTCGGTGTGTGCGTGTGTGTTTAAGTCACATGTACACAGGTCAGTGAACTCTTAAGGACATGGCCGATCTTGTACGTTGTGATCAGGCCAATGTATCCATACTCCCATAAACGTAGTCCCTAGCGAACGCGTCAATAGTCAATACCTTCAATACAACAAATAATTCCATGGCATATAAGGCTATGAGCTTTTCTACGGTAAGGTTGTTCATACCGATATCATCGCTATGATTTCTCATATGCAACGTATTGTCACACCTGGCGCGTAGGAATACACGTTTGCACTTTGTGAAGAGGGCGGAAGTAATTCGCACCTGTTGGAGATATCGCCAAGACCCATACGAGAAGGAATCCAGGTAAGACTGCGCTTTTAACTACTATTGACCATGAACACTTAACATATAGAACATTATAGTGTGTTGCTGTAGTCTTTAGACAGTTGATCGAGCGCTGTAATAATTTTTGAGGCCACTGTTAGGGTTGCGATCCATGAAATAACGTCAAATTTACAGAAAGTTGCAGTGCAAGTTGTACGTGTTTACATCAGACTAAAAAGGTGCCACAGACTGTTGTTTCAATGTTGAAAATACCCAAGTATATAATAATAGTCTTTGTACAAGTTCAACCTCTGACAGAGAGCCGTCTTATGGTATGGACCCAAACGCCACAAAGGCCTCTGTCTAACACAGCGATGTTTGGTGATTTACGTATTCGTTAACCATTAAACTAGCCTCCTGTGCAGCGGGGTGGGGAAGAGTTTTTAACGCGTTAGTTTAAATTTAATCTAGCCGGCCATCCTACATAGCCGCCGAGAGAAGGGTCCATTCCGCCCCGTTATTAAAATAACGCGTTAAAAACTCTTCCCCACCGCCGCGGGGCCAACACAGGAGGCTACATTAAACGGGCCAGAAAAATAAGACTCGTTCACGTGTATTGAAGTTTAAATATTAACCTTTAACTAAGTTAAGAGACTATTTTTACACAACCAAGTCTTTTATTCGATCAGCCGACGTTTCTGTGACAATATTAACTTTTTACCTTAAGTTTTATCTTGGCAAGAAAAGGATAATTTGTTATCGAGAGACAGAAGAGTTTGTGATAAAAAGTCAATAATTTTCTCCGCAGTTTGAACAGTCGGGAGTGATAGCACACCACCATGGAGACCCAAAGTCAGCCAGGTTCCCGCTCTCAGCGGATGCAGTACCGGGTGGCAGGCGCTAGGGGGCTCGGGGGAGCCATGATCTTCTTCGCCGGGCTTCTGCTGACTTTCGGGATCATCGGAATGGTCATACAAACACTGCTGTTCTACGTCGGGGCGCCCATCTGGACTGGACTTGTGGTACGACACATTTTTTTTTAATTTACAATTCAACTTGGAGAATACAAGTGGTGAGATACTCTAGCTATAGCTAATTTTCGCGGCATATTTTCAGACAGAAATCGTAAAAAACATTTAATTATCATAGAAGTTCCATCTGTGTTGATAGTAATTATAGTACAATGCAACACAGGGATAAAAATTTTCAATATATTTGACCACTGTCGCCATCATGATAATTAATGACCAATCACTTCCGAACGTAAACTCGCGAGAGTTACGGTTACAGACACGTGGCCTTATTCACACGGAAATTGACGGATACGTGACGTCTGCAAATGGTCAAACGTGCTAGGTAGTTTATATCGTCCTCCGTCTCTGTTTCATGATGACTAGAGTGCTCTGATTATTTACTGTGTGAAGGTGACAGTGGTCGAAAATTTGCCACTGGGAAGTGTTACAAATAAATATTTTAAGCATATGTGATTCAAAAATATCCTTAGAGATAGCCTCCTGTGCAGGCCCCGCGGCGGTGGGGAAGAGTTTTTAACGCGTTATATATTTTAATATAGCCGGCCATCCTACATAGCCGCCGAGAGAAGGGTCCATTCCGCCCGTTGCCTTTACTGTTAGAACTCAGTTAGAACTACTAGTAGTAAATGATGAACAAGTGTAATTGGCGACGCCTCAGGGGCGGAGCCATTTTCTGACCGAAACCAATAAGTGATGTTACCGATTTTCGTCCCTGCAGTACCTGGTGACAGGCATTCTGGGAGTCGTATCCAGCCACAGGAACACCAAATGTTTGGTGAGTTAATACAAAGTAACATCATTACTTTGGACCTCTGAATAATTCCAGTTCTCATCAAAGCACCGTTAACATACCTGTCTCCAAGTCATTTTACAACAACAGCTTCTTTCCCCGGACTGCAAAATTATGGAACTCTCTTCCAAACATACGCTCTGCATAAGGGCACGGGAGACCTTTCCTTTCTTCCAAACAGATGCTTTCCGTCAGATTACAATCCACAAAGCTTACAAAACAAGGTCCACCGCCATCTCCTGACATAACTACATTATACTCACTTAAGTACCTCTTGGCCTTGCATTGAGCGACACCGTTAAAAAAAAGGCAAACCTCCCTCTACTATTGAGAGTAACAACATTCCCATGATCTGAGTGATTGGTTTTATCTCTGGTATTTGTTCTAGGTCATCAGCCTTCTGATAATGTCATGCTTGAGTG